ACTTCAGTAAATATAGACCCAGCCGAACTTCTTCCCTAAGTCAAGAGAGGATTCAAGAAATTGCGACAGGGCTTAACCCCTTTGCACACCAGACCCAACCGCGCTGCCGGAGGCAGAAAGCTCAGCAGGTGACACCTTTGTGCCTGGGGATTTAGGCGTTTGGTTCCAAAAAAAAATTTCCACCGGCTGCGGGAGGCAGAGAGCTGCGTGACTCAGCTTTTTCTGAACCTGATGTGTGTACTTTGCCTGTTTATTCCCAGTACAGTCAGTACCAAGGGAGTCATGTTACGCAGCAGGCTCAGTGTTTATTAACCAGCTTGGGAACTGATCTAAGAATAACTTTTTTTCATTTGTTTTGTTGGTAGTGGTTTTGTTTTGTTGTTTTGTTTTTTTTTTTTTTTTGTTTAGCGCAGTCAGCAGCCCAAGGTGGAAACTGCACAGAAAATGGATAGAAAGGGTTTTCCCCAGCAAGTTGCGGGAATACATAAACACACAACTATTATCGCCTTCCCCCCATGAATAGCCACATCTGAAATATAAAATCACGAAGATGAAAGCTTTAAGGGAAGCAAGTTGCTCTGCCTCAAAAGTGGAGCAGCGCAGCAGCCGCCATCCGCTCTGTTCCAGCTTGGCGTGCTGCAATTATTTGAACTTTAGGGATTTCAATGCCAGCGTTTAGGTGCTTCTGAACCAAAATTTTTATACAGAGCGATATTTGCTTCCCTGCCTTCCCCTCTGCGGTAGTTTATTTTAGAGCACTTCGTCTCTGATTTCTTTATTCGCTCACCTCATCCTCAGTGTTTCAGCCACGGTGCATGAAAGCCACATATTTCCAGCGTGACTGCATGTGATTATAATTACTTTGTGTACCTATTTAGATGCTTGGCACAGAAAAAAGTCCTTTTGACAGATGAATAGATGCAGTACTTTCAATCAGCTGACTTGTCTGAAAAGCAGTGGAGTGCTGTGATTTATTCTGTCGGATGTTTTGATAGTTTATTTAGGCTATCATGTACTTATATGTGAACTCAGTACCTGCAGAAATTTATGTAGCACTTTTTTTCTCCCAAACCACCCCCCCGCTTCCCCCTTATAGCTTTAACACAAATACCAGTTAAGGCACACCTCCATCTGGTTTGAAGCATGCCAAGCAGAAGCATGTGTTGTTGTGTAATAGTTGTGAAACATGCTTATTTAGGTGATGTTTGTTGTCTTCACTGGGGTTTGTATTGCACTCCTTCCTCAAGACTGCAGTTGTGAACTTAGCACCCGGAGCGGTTGTCTGGGTTAGAAACACCACAGGCTGTCCAAAATTACCTTGTTTTGATGGCAGCTTAATAGCAGAAACCCTTTAGTGGCTGATATTTAAGCCTTCATACCCTTTTTTTCTTTATTTATGATTTAATGCTATATTTATTCTGATAGGGTTTAAATACTAAAGCAAATTTAACACTAAATTGCATTGTCTTGCATTTGCCTCTCAGCCAGAAGCGTCAGAAATTACATGTTATCAATGCGGTGTGTGTCTTTGGCACTGTATTTAACACAGCCTGCTTTACAGTCTTTCTGCTAAAACTCATCGTTTTTTAGGCTTAGAGATAGCTGCACTTCCTTTATTTAAAATTTCATTTTGCTTGGGTGATTAAAAGAAAACTTGGGCTGTTTTGGAGATGATTAAGGACTTTGGGGGCAGTATGGAGGTTATATCTGACTTTAGGCTTTGTTCTGTAGCATGCAAGTTGAGCCTGAAGAAAATGTTTTCATGAGCCTGAAGAAGAGGGTGAATAGCGGGTGTTTTCCTCCCTTTTTGCTGAGATGCTGTGGGAGCAGCAGTTCAAACCTTTTGGGATAAGGTCCCTTCTCTTGAGTTGCAGAGCTGGAGGCACAAGAAGCTTGCAGCTGGTCCATTTACATGTGAGTGTTCCTAATATTTCCCGACAGTCACCCACTCTGCGTGCTCGCTACAGCCTGGCAGGATATGAAGAGTGGCATCAGGACCCTTTGCAAAGTGCGTGGACTGACACAGAAAACCACTGATCCTCCAAGAGGAGAAGCCTTAATCTCATGTTGGGCAGAGATCCCAGATGCAGAAAGTCAGCAGCCAGACACTGCAAATGCAGGACAATTCCTCTAGGTTGTGGACAGAAAAGGTCCAGAGCTTCTCTGTGTCTCATTAGCACCCGTGTACGCTGCGCTGCGATCGCTCACTGCTGTGGTGTCACTACCGCTGCGAGATATGGTACATACTGTTTATTATACAGCACTGACACGAGCAGCTCAAGCAGAATCACACTTGTCAAATAAAAGGGGAAAATATTTGATGCTGCATCTGACATCTCAAAAAATTAGAAGACTTCTTGCAAATTAGTTGCTAACATGAATTAGAGGTTTTGCCAGTGGTAAAAAGGGAGGGAAGTGCTGGCTGGAGAGAGGATTAGACCAAGTGAGCCCCTGGAGAGGAGGAGCAGCAGAAAACCTGCCCTGCTCACCTGCTAGAAGTTGCTGCTTCCATAGCAAGAGAGGATTAAAACATTTAACTGCTCTCAAACCAGAGTCTTTTCTGCTGTATTGGTATAAAGTACTGCAGAACAACATTCTTTGGCTAAATATTCTACCAAGTGCACTTTGGTGTCCTCAGTCACAGCAAAGATCCTGTGATATACTTGGAGCCGTACATTTTTATCGTCTCTTTGACCCAAAAAGCAGTGTAAAAATTGGGTAGAAAATAGCAGAGCGTCCTGCCCAGTTAGCCTGTGTAGTAGGAACACTGTCCTTCAGTGCCTGTGTATTTGTGTTTAATTTTTGCTTTTCAGTGATCAGTTTGAGTGTGGTCCCAAAGCAGGAATAGGAGGTATTGCAACAGTAGGTGTTTGGGATGGGGCTGCTTTTGGGCTATGGTCAGACCCCTCATCCCCTGCCACCACGTTTTGTTTTGGCTTGTTTTTTCTAAGACGGGAAAATTCTTTGGTCAGATTGTCTCTAAGCTGTATTTTCATTTACCTTGTATTACATTTTGATCAGCAGAGATCGGGCAGGGATTTTATGTCTAGGAATGAAAAAGAAGAAAAAAAGAACAACACAGAAACCCCAGCTGTCTGCTAGATGCTCTGCAAGGCCCAGGACACTGGTCAGTATGTGCAGGAGCACTCGGTGGTAGATGTCTCAGTGATCAGGTGTGCTAGGGGCTCTTCCCAAATGAGACACGTTCTTGCTCCAGAACCATCCTACATTGGCTCATATTGAAGGGGCTGAAGGGCCTGAGCTGTGAGTAAGGTCTGTGACTCTGCTGGAGGACTCAGCCTGGGAGGTGAGAAATAAATATGTGTTTTACCCAATGACATATTATTATGCCCACTTTATTTTGTAAGAAAAACTCAAATGACTTTCTTTTCCTTAAAGACATACATCCTTCGTCTTGTAAGGATTGGTTGGCCCTCCCTTGAAGGTCAAAACATGCCTGATTATACTTGGCGTAGTGTGCTATTTCAGACTTGGAAGTTTTGCAGGCTTCAGGACCGGGTTTCTTTGTAGAAACAGCACGCTTTGTGTTGTTTCTACACCGCTCCTTGAGCTATTTGCCTAAAACAGAGCTTCAGGCTTTATGCTGGATCACCTCTCTTGATAGCTAAAGTTTTGTAAGTTTCTTTTTCCTTTCTTTAATACAAACAGGTTTGGCCTACCAACTGTGACTTAGTTTTATTGTTTAAAAACTTTATTATTCAAATTAAGTATAGCACAGTTCAAATGAAAGATACCCTGAAATGTGCCTGAGGGCTGGTGCAGTGAAACCTATTCTCTCAATACCACAGACTGAAACAATTCCCTTTATTTCATAGACCTGCTCTTGAATTTTAATGCAAGGGCCATGAAATTCAAAGATGAGAAGGGATTCTTCAACAAGGCTTGTGGTGTGAATATATCATAATTCTGTGTACAGAGAGATAGTGCGATGTTTTTAAGCATATCCTCTCCCATAATCTGTAAAGTGAGCCCAGAGACTTTGTCCCAGGGGAGTCCCAAGACCTGATGAGCTCCTTTATTCATCCTGTAAATCTGATGGTATGTAGCCAGGAGGTTAGGAGGGACTGTGGTTACCATCAGCAGTGCTGATGCCCAGAGCTGGCACTACAAGGGATTCACAGTGAAGGGGAAGGAGCTGAGGAGCTGGAGAAGTGGCTTGTGCTGGAGTCGTGCAAGAGCTACAGGGCAGCACACAGAGCTGGCGCTAATTCCTCTTGAAAGCGAAGGCTGTTGCAGCCTCGTGGCTAGTTTTTATGCCATTACAATATTAAACTTTTTTATTTTAAAGAAGGTAAGTTGTAGTTTTTTGTTCAAAAAAGAAAAAGGGAAAAGGTGCTCTGAAAAGTTATTTCTAAATGTCTCATTAAAATACGTAATCAGTGTAACTACAGCTCCAGTTTATTGTTACTTTGGGCAAATAACATGGGGGAGAGCATCTGGTGTATAAATTGTTATAGCCCGTTGAAATCAGTGGAACTATGAAAAATTTACAGAACCCATGGTCTGCCTTACACCTGTAACAATTTCAGGCCGTTGCATTGTGTTGCAAACACTTAAAAGCAGCAGTGGCTTGTATTAAATGCATTTGAGCTTGTTTCTTGTTATTTGTCTTATTTTGGAGGATTTATCAGTGATAGCTGCAGTTCCAGCGTTCCTTGGACACAGGCTCAGAGGAGGCTTTTGGAAAGTAACTGGCCAGGGGGTTGGACGGCACAAGGTTTTGGTGACATGGCATTGCACTGACGTGCAGTCTTCATTATGTTTTCTGCTGCAGCACTTGGGGAGCTTAGGGTGGTGTTAAGCTGGTTGGGTCCTTGGTGGAGAAGGCTTCCTCCATCCCAATCACCTGGTCTCTTTGTATGTCGTCTTGATCTCGGTGTTAATCAGCAGTTCATCTGATAACATGTTCAGTTCCTATACTTTGGGACGAATCATTCGATATGCTCATTTTTTAATTTATTTTTCTTGTTCCCCGGCAGGCTCCTTACCCCTCAGGACAGAATGCAGCTCCAACCACACTGGTGTACCCTCAAGCCCCTCAAACAATGAACACCCAGCCTCAGACCCGCTCGCCGGTAAGGGAGCCCATTTTTCCATTATCTTGTGTTCTTTCTTCCTCATTTGTGTGTTTCTCCATGTGTGTGTGTGTGTCTGTAGCACTTGGCTGGTTCTCTGGAAAGTGTGCTTTACTGAACTGGAAGCACGTTCCAAATGGCAAATCTTGATTGAATTTTTCAGACTCTGTCCTCATAGGATAATTTTCCTTTTAAAGTGGCTTGTCAGAAGAAGCAGTGGAGGGATTCTCATCTATGTTCAAATAACACAATTTATTTTTAGCATAGTTTCTTTCAGGTTCACTCCATTTTAGAGTTTAGATTCGTTACCAGAATCCTTTTTTCTTCATTTTTTTTACTCTTTTTTTTTTTTGTTTTTTTCTTCTCCTTTAAGAAAGTTTTTGGTGAAGGATTAGACCAAAGAGCAGTGAACAGAAGTGATTTTCTGCAGCAACACTCAGTCTCCATTGGCTTCTGGGCAATAGTTCCAAATCAGTGCCACTGGATCAGTTCTAACCATTTACTGCCTAGCACCCTGGAGGTGCTCGTACATTTGACGTAAAGCTTCTGTGTACCCAGACCTTTTTGTGGAAGCCCCTTTTTCATCCAGCGTTAGGTTTGGTTGTCCTCCGTAATACCATTTTTTTTTTTTTTTTTTTTTTGGGTGTGTGTGTGTATACTGTAATACTGCTTTGCTGTTGTAGGACTTTGGTTCCCCAAACCAGGCTCTTTTTGGGGAATCTCTGCTTGTAGCGCAGTTCCACACGATGCTAGGGGACTCTCCTTAGGGCATCAGATGCTTGGCCCAGCTTCTGGGGACACAGTAGCTTACCATCGTGAGTCTCAAGCCGCACTTAGCCAAGAGAGCAGCGAGCCCTGCACCTCTTGCAAATCCACATCTCCATCGCAACACTTTCAGGTTACCTATAAAACCACCGCACCGTTCCCAGCACTCTTCTCTTTTTAGAGTAAGATGAATGCTGCTGAAGTGTGGCAGCTGAAAGCCTCCGAGACAGAAGTCTTCTGTTTGTCCACATAACAGGTGTGTACATATACACACACACACACACACACACACACACAGGGCAAGCTTGCTCCCCATGTGCAGCCACACCGATGCGCTTGCCCCGCATCTGAAGGTTTCACCTCCAGGGGAATCGCTGGAGGGTTAGTTCTGAGGCCCATTAACCTCTGTGTTGATGAATGAGCCGATTAACGCCAGTTTTGGTGAAGTTTTTGTGATGTGGACAGCTGAACATTTGTAACCGAATCCCCCCCCCACCTTCTTAGTCCCCTGTTCTGATCAGTACCATTGGATACTGACGGTAGAAAACCCCTCTTTTCTCAGTAAGTATAATCATCTTCTTTATCTTTAATTGTTGAAAAGCACAAATAAGTTTATATGGTTAGAACTGGAGCAAAAACCTGACTGAAGAGCTGCATCTCTAAACCAGTTTTTTTGACAGCCCAGCAGAACAGTGCCAATACATTGCACAGACAACTGGAAGAGGAGGAAGGTTTTGGAACAGAGTCCGGTTTACAGGTCCCTGGCTGGAAGAGGCTGGATAAAATACTGCATTGTAAGCAATATAACAAACTGTACTCCTTCTTGCAGGCAATTGTGCCGATGGCACTGTTTTTATTTCTTCCTTTCTTTCTTTATTATTTTTTTTTTTTACCACATCTTTTTTGTTGGCTGATCTACAGAAATGCACTGATTTTGCTTCTTTGCTAAAAGCATGAGCTACCGTGGCAGGTTCTGCCAGGTTCAGTGGCAACACAAGGTCCGAAGTTGAGTTGCAGTTGGGAGGATCTGACCTGGTGTAGGACAGAGACCAGGGCAGCTTTGGGTTTGCTGCTCAACAGATAAGATCTTCAGGAAATTTGGCCAGAAAATGTGTCAAATTGCAGGATTTTGGCCCCATTATTGAGGAGGTATTGAGGAAGAATTTGTCTGCAGTTGTCAGCCATTTTTCTATTTTTCTTTTTTTTTTTTTAAACTCTCCTGTATGCAGATTTTGCCATCCGCTCTGCTAGTGACCATTTCCACCCCCATTACTAAAAGCCGCACCCATAACATCTCATTCCACCTCCTCAACCCAAGACAAATGCAAGGCTAGCCCTGTGCCAAACTACTCTTGCATTTTGTTCTGGGCTTGATTTGAATTTTTTTTTTTTTTTAATTATCGTTTTTTAAGTTATTTTTAAACCGTCTTTTTTTGGTGGTGAGGGGAGGGTGAGGAGGGGACGAGGAAGGTGGCAGGATGTCTTTGCCACCCCTAGGCTTCCATCGTGGTGTGGCTGCTGTGGGTAGGCAGGCTGTTGCAGCGGCGAGGGTGATGCTCACCCTCCTTCCTCGAGCAGCCGGAGCTTCCTCCGTCCCGTTTCTGCATCCAAGGGCCATTGGCAATTGCACGGTTCAGGCTTTTCTGTTCCTTCCAGGACAGCTGCCTTTGCAATCCAACTGGCTGCGTGTTTCCTCCCTCTTAGCATCATAGCGTCGCTCTGAGAGCAAGAATTTCAAAGTGCAGCTCCAGCTGGGGGAAGGAAAACCAAATCAGAGTCATTCAGCACTGCCGGAAATTATCCGTTAGCTCTTGCCGATGACAGCCCCAAGCACCAGGTGATTTTAACACAAACCGTCCAATTCTAGGAGGTCTGCCAAAAAAACTGTGATGGGAGAGAGTGTTAGAGCGATCGATCCTGAGTGGTTATTTTCAGAGAGGCTTGAGGTGTTCCGGCTCAACATCAGCAGGTAGAGAACGTGCCCCACTGTCCGCAAAGCAGGGAGCAGGACCACAGAGAGTGTGGGTGGCGGAAGTGTTGGACCCAGGTTTCATAAAGTTTTCCTTCCTATCTACAAGCTTCATCGGGCAGAGAAAAAACCCCAAAGTGTCTATTTTAATCTGAGCCAGCAGTGACTACAGTTTGTTCTGTTGCTTACAGCTACTAATAGGAATAAATCCTATCAACCTGAATTATTTAAAAAAAAAAATTTAAAAATCGATAGCCAGTGGTGACCAGTGCAAAATAGATTAGGGTATTTTTCACTAACTTTGAGGTTTTATTTTATTTCTTTTTTGTTTGTTTTTTTTTTTTTTTTTTTTGTTTTGTTTTGGTTTTTTTTCTTGTAATGCATATTGCTTTTCACCATGGAATATACTTCAGCTTCTTAAGATGTAAGCTTCCAGCTCTTGTTTTAAACACAGTGGGAACAAATCTTTTCTGTGGAACAGTGATAAGAGAGGTACTTTGGCCCCGAAATTAAGCAACACAATGAGCTGATTTTGCACAAAATGATGAGTTTTTGCACCTCATCATTCTCCTTTTGATTAATTTTTTTCATTGGTGTATAACACAGAGTGTGTAGCCCAGCCGGAAAGGCTTGTGTCAGCCCTTCCATGGTAAGCTTTATTCCCTTTTCTCAAACACAGAATATTTGAACTGTTTTTGAGGAGTTCTTCCTTTAGGAAAATAAGGACTTGAAGTGTATTCACCTCCCAAGGCTCATCCAGGTGCCCGTTTCTCATCGCTGTAGGACCCATGGGCAGAGCCACTGTCCCCCTCACGCCCTGAGCCTTGGGAGGATGCTGAGAGTACTTGAGCGCTTCTGTCCCGTGGTTGCTATTAAAATAGAGATTTTAGCTCTTTAGTCTTACAAGATGATAATGCTTTGCTTTTTTGTCATTAATGTAAGGCTTAGGGAAAATTTTCCAGGGTGGGAAAACTATTTGGTGAATCAGTGCAGGTCATTCTTTATAAACTCTTGCACTAGATACAGACTGTAAGTGCATATTTTCTCATTTCTGAAGGTTTTTATGACTTCTCATCCAAGTATCACGATGAGGTGAAGGTAGAGGGAATGTATAAACGCCAGTATTAGTAGACTAGTTCTTGAAAATCTTCAATATAGGTAATTAAAATATTTATAAAGGAAAAAGTCAGCTGGACCAGTGAATATTTATACTTTGCTTCTCCTGTTTGATGGCATTGAAATAGCTGGGAGGTAGGGCTGCAAGTGAACACTGGTCCACTTTTACTTACCTGAAATACTCTCTTATTAAGAAAATCAATGATTAGTAGCCAGTTTTGATCACTCTTGTCAGGCAGAAAGTAAAACGTACTGGGTCCCTGTGGTGTGAATTAGCAGAGGTGGGCTGTACCGTGTGCTCCGGCACGTGCATTAAGTTACTGAGCCATCACAACTAGCAACAAGTAGAGGGATGTGGTGGTGTAAAAAGCCACCATGGGATCTAGTTTCATTTGCTCCATTTAATTATTGGAGCTATTATCAATAGATGTATCTGCTCTCTTCATGGAGCTCTGCTGATTACACTGTGAATTAAGGGTTTAAATACTTAACTTGGCTTCTGGAAGAGGATACCTTGTCATCTTTATTTCTATTTTCCATTTCTTGCATTCATTTTTATTTCTATTTTAACAATCAGTTACTTATTGGAAAATGCTTTTAATGTTTACTGAGCATGTTAAATTCTGATTACTTTCCTCCGTGTGTGACCCAGGTGGGTGGGAAGTGATTTAGTCACCCGAGCTCAGGGCTGGGAACCAGGACCTCCTGTACTCCCCCCAAGCTCTACAGCTGATGCCTTCAGCTCCCCAGGGGCATCACGGGTTAACCTGTCTCCTTCAGTTTCAGACGGGGGTGACAAATCTGACTCATTAAGGAGGGTTATATTGTGATTGTTATGGGAAAAAAAAAAAAGCTGGAAGTGAAATTGCACTGTGTGTACGTGCAAAGAATTACTGATCTTTGCCTTGCAGGGAATTTCCCGCGGCCCCCTCGCCGGCAGGACACTAGCTGTGCCTACCTGGCTCTTAACTGCTCTCCAGCCACGAGTCTCCATCCTCCGCTCCCACCAAATATTTGGAATGGCTCTGAGTCCAGCTCCCTTCCCATTTACCTCCACCTTAAACAATTTAAAATGTCCGCTGCTGCTTGTTTTCAGTTGTTTTTCTTTTGTTTGGTTGGTTGCTTTTTTTTTTTTTCCCCAGGCAGGATAAAGAATGCCTGCATTCATACACTAGAGTGCCTTTAAAATAACTAGCAGCTTTGGCTATTTATCTCCCAGCTCTCGAGCAGCACACTTCCCCCCGTAGCAATGTTCACTCGTTATATCTCAGTACCTGTCTGTCACTGTCCTGCAGCAAAGCTTTTGACTGTTTTGTGGTTGTTTTTTTGTTTTTTTTTTTTCTTGTGGGTTTATTCTGCATAGAGTGTGACATTTTGGTTTCGTTGTGGTGTTTCTGACTCTTTGTGCCTTTCCTTTTGTGTTTGTTTCTCCCGCCTTTCCTCAGTTTGCAGCGGGGCCTCGACCTGCCCATCACCAGGTACAGTACCCTGCCCCTTCATTATCATCCTAAACTAATTGGCTGGGGGAGGCGGGTGGTTGGAGGTGATTCACCCACTAACTCAGAACGGAAGGCTTGCTTCGGAAACCAGCCCTGTTAGTAGATACTAGCACATGCATAACCCTGCTAACAAGCTGCCTGCAATGCAGAGTAACACTTAATTCTCAGTTGGTGTCACTGCACTCATTAACCACCCCTCTTAACGCTGTTTCCCTGGGAGAGGAGAACCTGTAGAGATCATTGTCAGGTATTCGTGAGGTTTGCTTGCCTTTTCAAGTTCCTAAAAACTTTGCTGAGTATTTTCTAAGCTAAGTTGGTGGATTAAGTTACCTGAGATGAAGATGTCAACAAGAACCAGGAGTTCACATCCCTGAGAAAATCCTACTTTTCAAATTCAGAGCAAGGGAAACGACTTTCCAGTTCATACATTTCTTGTGTGATACACCTGGTTATCTGGTGTCACTTCCTTGCTTAATGTTGTTTTTACTAACCCTATGAAAGCCAAACATTTAGGAATCTTTGTAGCGTTCCTGTTGCGTGACTTGGACTTTGTAAGGAACCACTTAATTAAGAAGAATGAAAACTAGGAATAGCTCTGGCTCATGAAACTCATGGGCAGCACTTACTAGGGTGGCAGAAATATCCAGAGGACCTCTGTAGCATCAGGACAGATGCCAGGGTCCCTTCTGTCCTCGTCAGGGTGTCCGAAGTTATCTTTTCTGTCAGTTCATACGTTCAGCTTTGTCAAATCCCTTTTCCCCTGAGGGCTGATTTAACTGCTTCTTGTAGCTTTTGAGGGGATGGAGGTGGTGCTGATGTGTGGGCAAGAGGATGAGGCATGGCAAGTGCAGGAAAGTTCTAGCAGACTGGCTTGTTTCCATGTCACCCTTCGTTCTCTTGGCTTGAAAGGAACAGGTTGTTTCCACCCAGTTAATAGGAAAAAAAATAAAATCCCATTCACTCCAGTGATGTTGGGATGGGAGATTAAGTCACAGAAGGTTTGTTCCAGGAGAATTATTTTGTTCTCACTTGGCTCCTGTTACCCTGAGCAGTTTAATACTGTAGAGACGAGCACCTTTGGGAAAGTACCATCACAGGAGAGCAGGTAAGTGCGTTCAGTGGGCACAGACACTCAGAAAAGCTGATGATCATTGTTCCTTCCACCTCAGAGAGCAGCATGGAGGCAGGCACCCTTCCAGAGCAGGACAAAAAAAGGCTTAAAAATTAGAATGAGGCTTTTGCACTTGTTTGCTCGTGAGCAGATGTCATGTGAGAGAGAGAGAAATTGTTTTTGTGTGTGGCAAGGGATTGCATTGACAGGCAGTGGTGGAGGAATGTTTGCAGGATGACTGGCCAACATAGGGAATGACAGAATTAGTATCTTGTTTAAATACTATTGTTCTTGACCTTAACTTCAGGTCTGTGTTTATATTACACAATACTAAAAATGCATTACTGTTCAGAAACTCGTTAGTTCTTTCATAGGTTGTTACTAAGGCAAATTATATATTCAGTGTGAGCCATATATGCTCTTAAAAATTACTGAACTCACTGCAAACAGATCTTGGACCACGAGTCTCACGGCAGCGTGCAGCCTTGGAGGAAACGATTTCAGCACTTGGTGGCTTTACTGGTTTGACTCTGCCACCAGTCTGTCATAACTTGATTTAAAACCCTTTTGGACCCAGTTATGACCCTGCCTACGGGTTAAAACTTGTAAATTCAAAGTGTTTTCCTGCTTTTATCACTACATATTTCATGTGTTGCAGTTAGATTTTTGACTTTGTTACATTTGAAATCCGCTTATAATTATCTGAGAGAAGCTGTCACTGTTAGAAAAACATTTCAGGCTTTTTTCCCAGTTATATCTGTCATGTGCTGGATCAGGACAGGCACAGAGAAACCTGGGCTATAGACGAGCTGTTTATTTCTTTTAATCTGAAAGTCTCTGCCCGTGGTGTGGACTGGGGATGGGGAAAGAGATTTTTGCCACTGACCTGTGCAGGAGGGTCACGGCTGTTGACGCGAGGTCATCCCCAGCCAAAGGCTTAAACGTTGCTTGAGACAACCATAAATAATTATTCTCACATCGGAAATTTTTAACGTGCTTAAATTGTGTAACAGAAGCATTAGGCTTCCAGACTAAGATTTTGTAACCTGAAAAGTCCTAAATAAGTAAATCAACTGTAGTAGTGTTAATATTTGTTGCAACAACATAACTGCTTTTCTAGGAAAGCAGCAGCAAGATGAGGTTTGCAACAATTCCTGTGTCAATACCAGTGTGATTTTACTAACATGTGCCTCATATTGATTCTGTGTCTTTTTCAGTCAAATAATGGATTGTTCTTTAATGTTAGTTCCTGCAATTATTAGATCTTTAAGGTACTCAAATTAGCATGATTTCAGCACCTGCAGTTGACTGGCAACTTTATAAGTAATTTATTTTCTGTTGGGAATGCCTGCCCTGGTAGCTCCAAGCCAGTTGATGCTATGAAAAGTGTACTCAAAGTTTCTATGAGAGAAGATATTAGAATGAGATTTAGGATGCTATACTAAGTAAATAGTGGCTGAAGTAAAATGAAAATAGCTGCAGTAGTTCTGATTAAAGGTTAAATATGTATTGGTAATCCTTGATTCCAGTAACACAGCTACCTGAGAAACAGCTAAAAAGTCTCATTTTATAGGAGAAAGAAAATGGGCCCTACGAAGTGTTTTGTGGCAATATTTTAAAATTTTTTTTTTTTTCCTTAATATATTATCAACTTGTGTTTTTCTTGAAATGCAGTGGCTGAATTAACTACTACCCTGTCTGGGTTTGCTGCTCTGTTTCCTACTTTGTGCACAGAACATCCCTTTTTTTCTTTCTAAGTGAGGCTCTTGAGTCACTTTGTTGCTTCTGATCCTCATGAAACACAATTGAAAATAGCAGTTTTCTTCTAATTTAAAGTCTGAATTGTAGAAATGTCAGAAATGTAATAACCCTTAATTTAAGAAGTGACTTCAGGAGCATATGGGTTATTTTAAAAGGGATGCTCAGAAGAGGCCAGTGTAATTAAAAACAGAAATAAGAATAAGTATAAACTGAAATGTCATAGTTCTCTTTCTGACTTATAATTGTATTTGAGATTAGTTTACTGGTTATGGCAGGCTAATTTAGTTTGAGGTTGCTGGTGTAGTTTGTTCCAGTTTTAGCTTGGGGTTACTCGAGTTCTTTTGGGTATAGCTTATACAACAGAAAGCTGGGTTTGGCCGTGTACTGTTGTTTAAAAAGCCTTGTGACTTGGAGAGGTCGGGAATTTACTCCCTGAGCTGACTCAAGCCTAACCATTTTTGTAGCCTTTTGGAGTATCTCGCGTTAGAAAGCAATCAGAAACAGCTGCCACAGCCACTTCTTTGTCTTCGTCCACAAGCATGTAAAGGAGCTACCAGTTTTAAATCCGTGGTCTAAACAAAAAAGGGGGTTCCACCCCCGCTTTATCATCTGTTAAATAATAAAACTGAGACAGTCTGAGGCAGGGGTGGAAAACAAGTCTCATGTTGTGCCCAAAGGGCTGCACTGGGTTGCTGCTGGTGGCCACCGGGAAAGCAAGATGTAGGTCTGGGGACTTTCTGCTGCAGCTCCTGCTGCTGGCACCAGATCTTCATGTCTCAAGGCTGCAGCTCCTCAGCTAAGCCCTGGTGCCAGTGTTAAAGTTTAAAAGATAACTGTAACGTGCCAACTTTCATCTGCAAGTAGACGTGGTTCTTGCTGTACTGCCTGTGCAGACACATTCTCCTCCCTCTTCTGCCTCAGGGCTAGGCTACCCCACCAGCCTCCTTGGTGGGACCAGAAAGACTAAAAATTAAAAACAGAGCTGTCTCAGAGTATGTGGGGCTTAATTAAGGCAGAGAGCTTGGGTGTGTGATTTGATTTGATAGCGTTGATGACAATTTGTTGAACTTTCCTTTTGCTTCCTTTCTCTGTAGCCTTCTGCAGGGCTTTGTGGACCCATCGCAACTTCCAGCCTTGGTCTGATCTAGGAAAAAATAGACAGGTGCCTATCCACGTTGTGTTTGATGGGCTAAGCTTAGCATAAGGGTTTTTTCAGTCCTCTTGCCACGATTTTATTTTTCAGCGAAGCTTTTAGAGTAGGGAGGGAGTGCTCCACGTACTTTTCACTGGCAATGATGGCTTAGAGATACAGAGTAAATAGAAAATCAATTAAAATGCAGTGGTGGTTTATCAGAAGGAGGTTGCTGCTCTCTTTAATCATTGATTTTTCTAGGTGACAGCCTCTTATCTGGCTGGCCTTCAACAGACTTTTGGCACAGGGTCATGTGGGAAGAAAATTAAGCAGGAGAAGATGATGGTTAATAAAGGGATATCGGGCTGATATAAGGTGTGACTAAGAAGTAAATGGCAGGGTAGTGCTGAGAGAGGTAGGTAGGAGGTTAGTAGTGGATTTCCTTAATTTTAGTATTAATTACTGCGGCACAAATAGGAGGTATGTGTCTGCAGCAAACTTAATGAGTACAAAGCTAGAAAGTGTGGTTAGCGCAGGGATGCTGGCTGCTGTGCAAGGAGGACCCGTGTGATGGAAGCAAGGTGTGATCCAGCATTGCAAGGTGCAAGCCCTTATCCTTCAGTGCCAAGGAGAAGATTTTATTCTATAAAATGGGAGCTCATCAGCTGAAACCACCTGTGCAATGCAGTCTTTAGATAAAACACCAAAGCAATTGCCAGTTGAGATAGGGAGTAACTACTGCTGTATTGGGAAGTACTGGGGAAACCGTGTCTGGAGCACGCGTGCAATTCTGCTCTTTTATTTTCCAGAAAGACTTCCATGAGCAGGTAGATGAAGAGCTGCTGAGATGATGAGAGTTTATTATAGCAGGCTGAAAGAGTTGAGCTTGAGGCAGCTGATAAAAGCAATGTCTGTTTAGTTGTGCTCTGTAAATATATCAGAGGATCAACGCTAGGAAGGAAAAAGTTAAAAGACTGTATTGCCCAGTAGTACCGACTCCAAGATGATCCAAGAAATCCCTCCCTAACAGAGGTGGACAGGTAAGGGATGGGACTGTGACTTGAGGATCACGGCTCAGGTCCTCTCTGGTTGCTGAACGACTGTGTATCATGTTTCACACTTACGTGACCATCATTAGACATAGCTGAACTTAATTTTTGAAGGTAGTAGTCAAGGAAGGGTTGAGGTAATGAAGGTTTTCGATCAGAAGAAGCCTTGCTGTGGCCCAGGCTATCTTTGTTTCGGGCCTGAGTGGGTCCTGTGCGTAATCCATTCCAAATACTGCACTTATTAGAAGGAACAGAGACAAAATATATCAGATTCTAACCTCTTGGTGTTCTCCCATGGGACATCATTAGCTTTGCTTGAAAATATTGTCAGTGCAGGCATCTGTTTGACCTTGTAAGATGAATTTTTAGCAAATCAAGTCAGAATAGTGTAACATTTCTAAGAATTACTTTGAATGTTGCTAGCTTAGCTTTGCAGGGACAGGAACAAGGATGGAGCATCAAACAGTTTGCCAACCAGATGATACTTACTTTGAACAGTAAAACCACATACAAATTGGATGCACAGTGCGCTGATGATACTGGATTTTCTTGAGAATTTTAGTTGTACTTACAGGAAGTGGAGTAGCTAAAAGTAATTCAAACTTTGCCAGAGAGATCTCTGGTTGGCACTTCCAAAAGCTTCTGATGGTCTTGTTGCTTGGAACAATGGATCTGCTTTTCTTCTTGGTGCATCTGTTTTCCTACTAGGAATTAAATCCTCCTCCTTTTTTCTCCATCTCTGCATCTGAGCTACCTTTGCAATGGTGTAGGCATTGTAGAGTGTTTTTGAGAGGCTGAGTCTTTTAACATAGAGTTTCCTCATCAGAAGTCCTCCTCCTGCTGTAGAACACCTTAGCACTACCATGGTGGTGTTCAGTGCTTGTTGGAAGAGCAAGCCTGTGCGACACACCACCCGTTCTGGTGCACAGAGTGTGCTTTCCTTCCTCCTGCTGCGGCAGGAGAGAGAGAGATGGCTTGTGTTTTCATGAAACCAAGTTTCTTCAGCACGTCACCCCAACAGATAACATCTCGTGATCTTTTAGGCACCAGCTGCCAGTGATGGAAATGAAAAGCTATCCATAAACAAGGAGTTTCTCTTGCTGTAAGTTTTTCCTTGGTGGTTTCAGGGGTGTTATTAGCAGGTTTTGTAGGTGTAGCAGAAACTTGAGGAGCAGGATTTGTGTCTGTGGCTCGCACTGGTGGAGGACTCCCATCTCTTGCGGTAAAAGCCTTTCTGTGCTGCCCTGTGGGTGTAGTTACTGTCAGTAGGGAGCCAGGTCTTGCTTCAGCCTCCAGCCCATTTGCCCTCTGCATAAGTGCAGACTCATGGCATCTATTGACTGCCCTCCCCCGCACCCCGCTCTGGGGAGACTTCTGCTCTAACCTGCTAATAGGTCAGAAATAGTCATCATTCAGCGATTTGCAGTGAAAGAACAAAGGACTTTTCCACTTTTCGGCGTCTTTGGATATTGAAAAAGAGCAGATTCTAGTTATTCTCACTATAAATTCAACATATGCCCTTGGTTCATGCAACACTCGTGTAGTTCTCCCACATCTGGACAGCCACCCAGTTTTTATTAATGCAGGAGCATGTTAATGTGTTGGTCTTCTGGTTTCCTTTCGGCACCCTTGACACCAGACTTTTCACCCCACACAGTTGCATTCTCCTGGTTCAGGTCACACTTACAGTGTGCTGGTGACAGTTCTTCATCCAGATTAACAGGGTTGGATATAAAAGCGTTGTGCTCATCTGAATGGTGTCTAGATTTCTGAAACAGGGAGTCATCTGTGCCTTTCCTGGAGAAGTCCTTTGCTATGGGGAACAACTTAGGTGTCATAAAGTCTTCAGCAGCACCAGAATGACCATTTTAAGCTCATCACCATGTCAAGTACAGAGGCATCACAGCTTCCTTCCACCCTACCCTATTCTTCCCAAATGCTGAGGCAGAAAAGTCCAGCTTATTCCTTCATTCCTTAGTGGTTACCACTCTTTCTTCTTCTCACCTCTCATGTTATAGTTACTCACAGACTATTTACATCAATGCACTTCATCAGTCAGCAGTCTTCGATGTGATGTATGGTGACCTAATTTTTTTTTTTTTTTTTTGCTTAACAATTAAATATGTGGCATTTCTTATCCTTCCAGTCTTGGTGCGGAAGTGGAGACCAAATCCATGATTTGAGCAAGGGTTTCTGCTTTATCTGCTATCTCTGTATCACTGAGAGAGACCAGAAAGGAAAAATGTTTGATGTTTTAGGAATAGAGTAAACAAACTCTTTCTGTAGTATCATATTTCCTGGAGTTAATCATGGTTTGGGGGTTGTTGTTTTTGTTGGGTTTTTGGTTTTTTTTTTTTGGTAAACTTTATGCTTCCGTATAAACTTTTCTAGAAGTTTCGAACCCCTGTCTTGGGATTCTGGTAGAAGAGTCCTTGGTACCAGTTCCGTGTCTTTTTCTTGCTGTTTCTATAAGAGATTAGTCAAAGCAGGACAGAAACTTGAATGGAATTGTGTGCAGTTAGGGTGCATGTTATATCCTATTCCTTTCTATTGATCTGTAAGCTGTTCCATTGGCTTTCTTTCTGTTTCCTGCTGCTTTCTTGCTTCGTTATTGAAGGGAGGATTCAGACCTATACAGGTAATTTTAACTCCTGGTTCTGCATGGCATAAGTGTCTATATCACTTGTATCGTTACTCTGTTAGTGAATGCGTTAACGTCTGATGCATATCTTACCGACTGAGTTTCAAGATTGCAAAGACGCCAGAGCAAGGTCTTCCAGTGCCATGAGTGCTCCATACCATGGATGCTGATGCCTTCCCCGGCGCGTAAGGGTTGAGAACGGAGCGTGTACCAGGGGGTTGCTTGGTTTCCTGGACCTGGTCCATCTGCGTGGGGCATCACTTCATGCAAATGTGGTAGAAGAGTTTGGTGCCACCCTGGAAGAGGTTGCCACCTTTCTGAAAACAGAGGGCAAGACAAGTCACCCAGCTCAATTTGTACCAAGGATAAGCACGAGGCACCTCTGGCCTTTGTGAAAATCTGGCTTTTTAGCTGCTCTGGAAGTATATTGTAACAGTTGCCTTATCTTTGATTTCCCTAGCATACTTATACAGGCGGGTTTTGGTAGTTAACCCACCTTATAAAAAAATATATTTGACAAAAGTAGTTTTTCTAACATTTGCTCTGAAAGTTGAACTGTATAATTCAGTAGGTACAAACTGCTAATTACTGGAGTTTGAAGTTTCTTGCCTTTTTCTACCTAGTAAAATAGAAGACTAGAGCATGATCTTGCTGTTAACAGATAAACAGACGTTGTCCTGCAGTTTTCTGAATGCGTGGCAACCCTTTGAAAGTAGCATTATAATTATAATATTGTAATGATATTTCAAATTGGTTCCCAGAAAGTCTGACCGGTTCTTTGCTTTCTCTCCTCTCTCCCTTCCCTGTCCTAGTTTTTTCAGAGGCCTCAGATACAGCCTCCCAGAGCTACCATCCAGAACAGCAGCCCCTCCATCCGTCCTGGTGCGCAAACGCCGACTGCGGTATATCAGACCAACCAGCACATCATGATGGTTAATCATCTGCCAATGCCCTACCCGATGCCTCAGGGCCCCCAGTACTGTATACCACAGGTAAAAATACATCGTGCAGGCACCTAAGGAACTGAAAAGCAACTTTTGCTCCATCTGGATTTTCTCAAGACCTGCCACAGAGCTGCGGGGGTGTGTGTGTGTGTGAAATTAAGCTGGTAGTTGGATATTTAGCCTCTGTCCTTTTTCTGTATGAAGTATTTGTTGTTTTGTGCATGGAGGCTGTAAGAATAAATTACCTTTCTAGTTTTTGAGGTCCCCCTCAAAAACAGTGTGAAACTAAGCTCTTGGGAAATGTTTAGTGCTGTAAATGTATCTAAATTGACTTAATAGATCTACCGTTACTCGAAAACCTTGGGCCTCATAAACACAACATTGCTGAAATCAGGGGAGCAAGTGTTTTCTACTTCAGCTCTCAAGTCCTCTGTTTCGTCTTTAGATGACATAGCTTACCTCTTTTTTTTTTTTTTTTTTATTATTTATTTAGGTTTTTTGACAGTAACATTTCCGAATCTGTAATTAATTGGTTTGACAGTCAGATCCCTGTTGATCTGGGGGGCTCAATTACAGGTTTTCTATGCAACAGCATGACGTTGCCCAACTCTTTGTAAACTGATGGTTATTCTTTTCCCTCCTAGTATCGTCACAGTGGCCCTCCGTATGTCGGGCCCCCACAGCAGTATCCTGTTCAGCCGCCAGGACCAGGACCCTTTTATCCAGGACCAGGTCCTGGAGAATTCCCCAATGCCTATGGTAAGTTCTGCTTGGAGATTTTGTAGAAAGTACTTTCTGGGTGTGTTTTTCTGTTGTCAAGCTGAAGACTTATAATAGCGAAATGGATTAGCATTTGTTTGAACTTCAAATAGCTGCTCAGTTTGGTTGTGTCGCAGCCCTTATTTTTCACTCCTGAAAAATTCACAATAACACTATTGTTTGTGTGAGTGCTTAAGGAAAGGCAGCAACTCATGGAGCTACCCATAATCACATGTGAGCAAGAATCGTGGCTATTTGTTATTCCCTGCTTGATCATTATTATTTATTAAGGTATTGTGAACACATCTGGCAGCCCTGGTTTCCATTGAGCTATGCCCTGAGTATGTTCACAGCAATATAGCAGTTAACATTTCTTATCCCTGTGTTCCTTATTTGGCATTTAGTGAGGGAAAAGAACAAGCCATGTGGTTTGATTCACCAATCTTGTGGTGCAAAGATCAAGTTAGTGCAGTCAAAGAGTTTGTGACTCATGCACAGGCTGAAATTTGCCCTTTAAATGGGCAACTCCCGGTCTCGCCTTTTCTCAAGCAAAAGGCTTGGGAGTTTGCCCAACATCACTGTGTGTGCTGTGGTTGTTTGACACACTATAGTCAGTGTATTTGATTGACTCCTCCAGGTATTGAGCTTCAAAGCTGCACCTAAAATTTCAGAGGCTGCGTGTCCAGTGCTGGGCATCTCATGCTGTCTGCACCTCACCGGTCCTTGTCACCTCCAGGGCCTCACAACTGCCTTTCATTTGGGTCCCGGTTTGCAGAGCCCATTAACAGCGGGGGACTGTCCTTCACTGTCCCACGACACCTCTTCTCTTGGCAGTCATCTTTTATGGAAAAGTAATTCAGTTCTTTCTTAATTTCCAGGGTGTTGCCATGTACCGTATATATCATACTTACCTCACAGTCCCTTAGAAGGTTTTCTGTGGGATTTGTATTTTGATAGTTAAAAGAAATCAGCTCCTGCAAGCTGTATTCAAATGAGATACGGAATTAGGTATCTTGCAGTCATGTATATCACTTCTTTTTTTTTTTTTTTCTATATTTATATATTTTTTTTAATATACCTTCTCTTGCTCATTTATGGAAGCATTTGAAAAATCCACTAGGATGATTCTAGTCGACACCCTGTTGTATGGAGGTTTTTTTTAAAGAGTTTTCACCTCTTAATATCAAATTTGAGGTGTTTTGTTCAGTCTGATTGCTACTTGCCCACGCACGTTCTGTAATCTGTTGGGGGCAGAGATACTATCAGCTTTCCATGCGGCTTTAGCTTTTGGTATTTCAGAGTGGTAGAAGTGAATGATTACCTTCCAGGCTGAGCAGTGACAGCCCTGTACCGTTGGCAGAATTGCATGTTTCCTCTCACAAATACAGATTCGTTTTAAAGGGAAGAAAAGCCCCAGAGAAGCCCTGCTTCTCTGCTTATCATTTTAAAAGGCCTGGACTCTTTTTTTTGTTTCTTCTCTATTTTTGTATTTGTTTGGGGTATGGATAGGTAATGGGACTACTTTGAAAGGTTACCATGAAGCGTTCAAACTTGGTTATGCAATTTCTAAATAAAATGAGAGAGTGCGATTATAAGGCAGCTAGTTCCTGTTTGCTTATCCTAGGGGGGAAAAAAAAAAAAAAAGAGAGAAGAAATACTGCAGTGGCTCTTTAAATCTGATCCACTAAATGGGGAAATGGCCCAGTATTCCTCATTTTTTTTTCTTTCCTTACAGGTCTGCTTTCTTACTTTCTGCTCACTTAGTGCCGTTTGTCTGTCTTCATTTCTGTAATTTGGAAGAGGCTTCCTTCCGGTTCCTTTCCACTCCTGCAAGCACCTGATTTCTTGCACAGACGCTTGTAATCTTTCAGTCCCAGCTTGTTTTTAGGTTGCTGCATCTGCAGAGCATCAGTGGGCGAAGCTGGAGCCCTCCATCACGCAGAGCGTTTTCCAGTCAGAGAGGGTTTAGCCAAGGAAGAGGATGATTGTAGGTTTGCCTGTACTCGTCCATCTTCCCCGCCTGTTGCTTCCTTGCTATTTATGTAGGGACTGGAAATGTTCCATCTCTCACCAGGTGCTGCTCATGGTGTTGGGAGACAACTAAATTTACAGTACAGGCATGGGAAATGCTGCTGGCAGCGGCCTTCCCCGTAAACCTTAGGACTCTGTAGCCAGTGTGGCTGCTAGACATCAGAATCATCGCAGTTTGGTAGGCTGTGAAGGTGATAAAGGAAAATACTGTAGAAGACAAAACTTGTGGAGATGGAGACTGCATTTTACTTTAACCATCTCTGTTTTGCAATTTATTGTTCTCTTTTATATCAGTGAGTTTCTGTGCTACACTGGGAAGGACCTTAAAATGATGAATGGAAAGGAGGGAGGATAAAACTTGGGTGCTGCTGAACTGGAAAGGATCAAAAGACAGGGTTCAGAGCACAGAACATCACACTGAAAAATATGCCTGGATTGTTGCCACAGAAGCTGTATTTCTTCCCAGAAGTTACTCTTGTTTTTCAGGATTTTCTTTTTTTAAAGTATTTCTCATACAGGAAGAGTCCTTCCTTGAGTTATTCTGTAGCTCACTCTAGCAGGGATCATGTTACAGGCTACCTGATTAGATCTGTTCTCTAGGAAACTAGAAATCAAGGTAATTAACACATTACAGGACTCCTAGGCTCGCTCCTGTCTTGTCATGTTCTCCAAACTCATGTTGTACACCTGGCCAGCTTGGCCAAAGCACCAGTTGGAAGAGTTCGAGGCTTCATCCCTGGTTTTAAGTAGAGAGGCAGGAGGGTTCTTGCTTCCCAAGCTGTGGGGACGCTGATGGAGACTTTTGTGCCCTGAGGCCAAATCTGAAGTCGTGGTGCCTACCCTGAAATTCGAAATGAGAAGTTTGTGGGAGTCATTTAGGCCACCTTAATTGCAGCATCCAAGAGTGAATACAGCCGGCTGAGCTTTTAGCAGCTTCATCCCGGTGCCGTGCAATGCTTTCCGCTTTCAGCTACCTGCCTGCTATTCCAGCAGAGAAAAGTTCTCACTCTGAGCATGCAGACAGGGATCCTGCTTCGAGTTCTTGCTTTCCAGTTCTCAGTCAGAGGAATGCGTCCTCTGAAGTTGCAAATTGGGCTGTGCTGGGCCAGCTTCGTTTGCTTTCTTGGATTTCACCGTTTGCTTGAGATAATAATAACTTCCTGCTTTGGTTACAGACACACAGTACAGATTTTCATTCCCATTTAAAGGTTAGTTCAGCTGAAGAATAAATCAGATTGCTCCAGATGCAAGCGCAAGCAGGCAGTCCATCTAGCACCATCTTACAAGTTCACCTGATATCTGAGCCACAGACAGAAGACAGCTTTACCATGCCACCTTTTTTTCTGACATGTTTTTTAAAGCACTCAGTCATTTCAAGCCAGTTTCATTCCATAAAGAAAAGCATAATGAAACAGTATTGGATATTATGCATGTAATCAACAACGCGGTATAATTTTGCAATAATAACTGTGGTCATGCTTTTTTTGTGTTGCAGCAGGAGAAGAACATAGCTTGTAATTAATTTTTCTGACTATGCTTCAAAATAGGTTACAGTTGACCTTGCAAATTCTTTATAATGGTTTTTGACTGAATTTCTCTACAAAGGCAAAAAAAAACCCCAACAACAAACCTACCTGTTTGTCAGTCAGAGGAGTCCAAGGATGCGCCACTTCTCTTTTCATGCTTTGGTGATTTCAGCAGGCTCTCAGAAATGGATGCACGTGATCGCTTTTTCTGTTCACGGAGGAAAAAATGAAATAGTGACTTAACCACTTGTCTTGATGGAATAGCAGCTTGTGTTGTAGTGGAAGTGGAGAAGAGCAAAATACAGACCGGTTACCAGTTGGGTGTTAGAAGTTCTGGTTTTTGAAGAGAGCGAGGAGCAGGTGGTCTGTTTTACCTCTTGCACTTGGTTTTGTTTCATTAACAGGCAAACTGAATTTTTCACTCTCGTTTCTGTCTTGCGCTATCCCAGGAACACCTTTCTACCCAAGTCAGCCAGTGTATCAGTCAGCACCCATCATAGTGCCTACACAGCAGCAGCAGCCTCCACCAGCTAAAAGAGAGAAAAAAACGGTAAGTGACTGTCATGAGCTGATATATCCTCCCTGAGAATTGTCTTGCTTGTAAGGTTGAAGGAAATTAATAACAGTCTTAACCTTCAAACTGACCTTTATCTTCACAGAGAGGCTAAGTCTTGCCTTTCACACTTGAGTGTAATTAAACACTTCACAATGCTGCAGTGTTGTCTTATTTTCAGTTTTTCCATGGGGACTTTCTGCTCTGAGTTTATAACATCTCAGCTAGTCAAAAAGGAAAATATTTTTGCTGGTTTTGTAACAAACCATAAGTGAAAGCAGCATCGTCTCCCCAAGCCTGGGATCCTCAGCTGCCTGCGTGGCTGCATAGAGTTTTACCAGAGTCAGGTGGGAATAAACAAATTTGGATCCATTTGGGAGAATGTTGGGAATTGGTTCAAATTGACAAAAAGAAATGGCTTAATATTATGCCTTGGAAAAGGTAGGAAAACAGTAAGTTGTGGATGTATTTGCAGGCTTGAAAGAACCTGAACACACAACATTATGAAAGTGGGTAGAGGTTTGGAGACCACATTTCCTCTCTTCCTAATTCACTGGTGAGAATTTGAGAGAGACAGAATGATGGAATTTAAATCTCTTTGCAGGTGGATGACAGTAGGGAATAGTAAAGGCACACTGGGTGAATGTAATGTTTAAACAGAAAAAGTTAGGGGTGGACTTGAACTTGAGAATGAATACTTTCTAAACAATTGAAAAGGAAATTACATCACTGTGTGTTTGAAGGCATTAAAAGAACTGTTTCCTGAGAGGAAAAAAGAAGGGACTTGTACGTATCTCAAAATGCAGAATATTTGTATCTTTGGATTTTTTTGAAGATGATTTGAGGTGACACTGGATTTGGGAAGCTGGAAGAGCTGTACAGTGTTTTAGCTGGGCTTGCAAGAAAGGCCTTTTTTGTAGCTGCTGTCAGCAAAAGGTGGTGCAACTCTCTTGCCACCTCCTCACCATCCTCTTCAGTCCTGAGGAGTCTCTTTTCAGCGTGCAAAACATGACATGGCCAGGTCCTTAATGTCATTTGAAATGCAAAGATGTTCAGAAACGCTCAGCTGGGGTGAAGACAGTTTCATGCCAGCGAAGCTACGTTCTTTGAAGCGGAAAAGCAAAATGTTTTTTAAATGCCTGAGATGCTTTTCTCTGGATGTACTATTTCAGTTTGCTAATCTGTGTTGCAACCGAAGAAATGAAAGAAACTAAAGAAAAATTAAATGTATACATGTACACACACCTGTATGCACCATTACTAGAGTATTTGAATACTACAAGCCCCCAGGCAGGGAAAGCGTGTTTGAATGTCATTGACTACTTCTCAGGAGAGGAGAGGGTGGGAGTTCATGCCAACTCTTAAGTCCTTGTCGCTGTGGTTAATTAAATGTTTTAGCAGGCAAACTTGATCAAAACCAAAAGACGACCACATCGTGTCAACATCCTAAGTACCATGTGGATATTCATTTGTCATCATAACCCAGAGTCAGGAAGACATCACGCAGTACTGAAGTTGATGAATCACAAAAACCTTCTGCAGTTAGCGACTTTATATGTTGCTGATTAAAAAAAGCACGGTGGTTTCCAGTGAGACCTCTGCCTTTGGAAGGATTCTGTCTTGGTTTGCTTGCAGTTGTGCATTGTGCTCAGCACAACAGGGCCTTCTTCATGCAATTTATATACAGCTCAGCCAAGAGCTTTTGAGAAAGTGGACAGGCAAACTCATATTCAGTGACACAGATTGGCTCAGGTGTCTGTTGAGGATTCAAATGAGTGTGTTCTCGAGTGGTTTATTTTGGAAAACTTATTTTGGAATGTTTTTCCTTACCATTTTGGGGCTGTGAAGAGACTCAAAAAACATACTTGTTTCCTAAATGCTGATGAGTTTCATAGGACTTCAGTTTGTTCTTCTTGCAGTTTCCCTTTCCTCTGCTCAGTATTTTTTGTTTGATTCCCTCTGTTTTGTTGGTATGACTTCTCTCAGTGTGGAAGGGAAAAACAAAAGGAGCTGATTTGCTTTCCCCCTTTACCAGCAGCTGGTTGGCAAGGTCACTGAATTTCCTATCAGGGTAAAACAAGGCCTCTTTTTTTATTCTTGCGCTTTCCACTAACGGGCAAGCTTAGTTTTGTAGCTAATCTGTCTGCTAAATTTTCTAAGTTGCAGTACACTTATTTTCCAGACATAGAGGCCATATTCTCAATTACAGGGTCATGCACTGGGGTGCGTGTATTTAGACCTAACTGGTGTGTTTGATGAGTGTTTTGATTAAATTAGGTTTTGAGATTAAGGGATGACATACCATGCATTTCAAGTTACTGAAACAAACCACATTCCAGTGTTCCTGCAGAACATCAGCTCAACCCAGAGCATCTCCTACTGAGTGTAACAGAATTGTGTCCCGTCCATGCTCTCCTCTCCATAAACTGCAAGGACAACATGTAACGGGAACACTTGTTTGAATTATTTCTTTGTTCAATACTATAGATCCGAATCCGGGATCCAAACCAGGGAGGCAAAGATATAACAGAAGAAATCATGTCTGGAGGGGGCAGCAGGAACCCAACACCTCCCATCGTGAGACCCACTTCCACACCTACTCCACCTCAGGTAATAAAGTGGCCACGTAGCCTTCTCCCAGTGATGTCTGCTTTGCTTTGCTGTTTGTTAGAGCCAATTCCTGTATCTTCCATCCACACCACCGATCACCTCAGACACCTGGATGGTCCTAAACTGTCAATGTTCCTCAAGGATTTTTATTTTTTTTTTTTTCCCCTCCAAGTTCAGTCGTTTTTAACAGCCTGTAGTTTGTAAAATGTGGAGCTGTAGCGCTGCTACAAGTTCCGCATCCCTGGTTTTGTATCAGCAGTAGGTTTTAAAGGTTGTAAAGACTTTCAGTGTTAAAGAAGGTGCTAATATATTTGTGAGAAATGTGGCGTTTGTTAGTGTTGTGTACCTGAGGGAAGTCCATATCGTGCATGTGATTGATTATGTGTCTTCAGTTGCATCACTGTCCATAGTAATGTCTTTCTGCCTTAGTAGTGCTGTTTTAGAGTAACCAGAATGTCGGTAGCTCAGGAATTTTATCATAGAACTGTGATAACTCTGTCACAGATTTGGTCTTTCTGTGTTCAACCTTAAAAAAATGTAGTTTTCTGATGTAGGAATAAGCATAAATGTTCCAAACCAACCTTTTCCATAGCTCATAAATCTCTTCTTATCACACACCTTTCAGTTTGACCCCTTCTAAGTCTCTGTATCCTGCTTCACCTGAGAAGTCCGTGTGTAATGCCTGGAAATCAAACTGATTGGAAATCCAGGTCTGTTCTAGTCCTTTTTGACCCAGGGCCAACAGAGCACGGCTCAGACTTGCAGACCAGCAGTCCCAACGTGAACGTAAGTCCACCTCGATGTGAACTGCTGAGGCTGGAAGTGGCTGTGTTTATCTAAATAGAAAATTATTTCTATCCTCTGACCACTCTTCCCCACCTGCAGCAGGAAGAGGCGATGCCTCTTTGATCTCCCTGTAGCATCAGAGATGGAGAGGAGTTGTGTGGCAGATGCTGTCTTCTTCCCAGCTGCCGGCTTGGTCTAGCTGCTGTTTGCTTCATACCTCATCTTAGCTCTCCCTCTCTTTTGGGAGAGATGGTGCTAAGCCACAGGCTGCTCAACTTAAAAGTTTTTGAACAATTGGAGAAGAAATGTTGTGGTTTGGCACAAGCCTCGGAAGTTGGTCGTGGTTTTTTGGAGATCATTGCCCACTGCTTGGGGGCCTGATTAGAAGAGATGAAGGTTCTCCGAGTGATAGGTGGGCTTTAGATCAGAACCTGGCTGAGCCCAGGGCACAGTTTCTTCTTTCAAGTTCTTCCCTGTTTAATGTGACCAGTTTTTGCTACTTTTTAGGTGAAACAGCCTTTTCTAAGCTGAAACCTTACTTCCCCCTCTGTGTCTGGATAGCTTTTCTTCAGACTGTCCTGTGCTGAGGCAAAAGCACAAGCTTGCCTTGAGACACCCCGTTGTGCTGGAATGGGAGCTTGAGGTTATGGCTGAGCCAGTAGAAGTGGAACGGGGATCACTGAGATGACATAAGAGCCTGGCCTGCAGATCTCCCTTCTGTTGAGACCAATGGGATAGTTACGGCTGTTGGTTCAGTTGCATCCTTTTGTCGCGCGAAGACATCACCCTGTGCTTTGGGTAACCTGCTTTCTCCTCCTCGTCTCCCTCATGGGCAAGCAGCAGCCAGGGCACCGTGCTCGAGCAGTTCTGGCTAGCTGTGGTTTTGCAACAAGGTCTGCAAGGCTCGACTGGAAAAAGCTGTTTTTCTGCCAGAGTGCAGTCTGATGATTTGCAACTACAGCTGGAAGGGGAGAGAGTTGAGAGCTGGTTACGTATAGAATCAATTAAACTTCTCTCCAAGCACTTTCCGTAAGAGAAGATACTAGTGATGCAGAACACTGGAGTGTTGGTGAGATCTTCTTCCCATTACTTCATGCTGAATGACTTTCCCCATTAGAATTGGGGAAGTGTTGAAAACAGCCAGGGTCTCAGATTGTGTTTATGCATGGTACAGATCATTTTTGCATTCTGAAATCTATTTTAAGATACCACAATTAAGTCAAACAGGACAAAATAAATGTTTTTCAAGAGGAGGTTAATAAGCACGAATTTTTATCAACTGTAATTTATATGCAGAGCACAGCAGTGATGTCCAATCATCTACTCTGAGTAAGGTATGCAAATACTTCATTGTTTAATATCCAGCCTTCATTTTGATTAGGTACTTGGAACCACTTTTGTTAATCACAGAAGAGCTCTGAAATAGAGCTCACCAGAAAAAGTTCATTAGTGTAGCATAACTGAAAATTTAAGCCCACTTAAGCCAGGAAATTCAAAGTTATTGTCCCAACAGCATCTCTAATTCATTTTTTTGGAGCACATGTAGTGTCTTGGATGGAATTAGATGGTGCCTTAATAACTATGCTCAGTGGCTGAATTCCAGTAGTGGTGAATGCTATAATTTTAAGCAGTCGAAAATCAGTAAATTTCAAATATTCAGCCATCACTTTGGTTGAAATGTGCTGTGGCTTTTTTGTGTTCCCTTTCCCCAGCTGATAAAAGCTATGAACAGTCAGCGCGAGCTGTGAGCTTCATATGGCAATACTTGCCTATTGAAATTCTCACAATTTTAGGGCAGCTCCTGGAATAGGTGCAAGGGAAGCATCGTTACTATTCCACCATTGTCTTGTTCCTCCACCCCTTTGAATCAGACCCTGCACATCGACGGGTTCGATGAGATTTCGTCTGGTAGAACACTCAAAATGCAAACCTGCAGTCTCCAGACTTGATGAAGTATCATCTCTGAAGTGACTCCCAGCCCAATGATATTTTAGATTTGCACTAAATTCTAGTAATGCTGCTTCTAAATTATTGTCCAGCATCTGATTCTGTAATCTCGTTATTTAAAGGATACAAGCGCACAGGGAGAAACTTACTCAAGAAATGCATGGAAGCCACTGATGTAGACTAGTCCCTGCCCCGAATCCTACATTTCAGAAAGAAGCCATTTTATAATAATAACAGGTTTCAAAATTTTCTTTTTTTTTTTTTTTTTAAATCCTTAATATTTGGATTTTCTTTTTTAACTGACTCAGAGAAAACCCACAACTTCGATAACCTGAAGCACCCTCTTCTCTCAGTAGATTAAATGCTTAACATCAAAAAAATACTGGACATCCAAAAGATGAGCATCGCTGCCCAGACTCAAGCCGTGTGTTTTTAGCCATTTCCATGCTTTTTGTATCTCTTGCTTTGCAGTCAGCGTTGCTGACCAAAAAGTGCTGTAGGTGGAGTCTTCTCAGCACCTCTGCAATGGTCGTTAAATTTCTAAAGTGCTTTAAAGTTCCTGCATAAGAGAAGCAGGCAGTAAGTGGAAATATTATTTATATGTTTCTAGCAGGATGCTGTTTTTCACACTACATTTTTTGCTAGGAAGATAAATGAAACCCAGGACCACGTATCGAACCTGGCTACTTACTCAGCACTGACTTACGTAGAAGATCACCTTTTAAAGAGTAAGAAATGCTCTTCTTTTCCTGACAAACCTCTTCCAAGTATCAATGAGTTTGTCACACTTTGTGTTTGCTCAGTGTATGGACCATGGTAGGATAGAATAACACAGAGCAAATCTTTTAGCATCATAAATCATAAGAGCAATTTTGCGGGTTTTTTTCCTAGAAAGTCTAAATGCTCCATTTTGAACCTGCGAGCCAGGTCAGTACTTAAGTACCATTTGTATTGCTTTGCAATGTCTTTCCCACCAAATAAATGAGTATTTTCCAAATTTCTTAAGAAAACATGTTTGCTGATCCAAGAAGTTTCTAGGCTTACAGGTTTCTTGCCTGCTAGTCTCAGTTGATTCCTGTGATTCTTACCACATTCTCCTTTTCCCCCACTGCTTTCGTCCATAAATTTCTCATAAAATGAAACTAATGATCTGCTGAGGGTGAGGGGAAAGCGTTCTTGAAACCTGCTCGTTTGTAAAACTCTGTTTTCTTTGGCATCCTTCAGATTTGGCTGAAGCTAAGGATGCAGTTCTTCATCCGTAGTCCAGCCGATCTCATCGGGCTCGTTCCTGGAAGAGGAGCAATCTCAAATAAAATTTCAACCCTTCACCCCACTTACTTAGATCTTTAGTTTTATTTTTCCAGATGTGCTTTTTCACAGTCTTCCTTTACCTTTTTGTTGCCTGAAATGGTGAAAAATAGTGTGTTGACGAGATTTCACTCTTTAATTCTGCGCTGTTCAGATACAATAGCTGCAAGAGCTGGAAGTAGGAGAGAAAGAGAGTCTGGGGGAGAGGAGCAGGGGTCAGAGAGTTTTTTTTTTTAGGGAAATAAGTTCTGTGTGGATTTCTGATAGCCTGTCTGAAAGAAGAAGTTAGACACCTGTGTCTTGGGTGCTCTGCTTTATTTTGATTGCTCAAAAATCCCTTTTCCTGTAGATATTTGGAGAAGTCAGCATGGGTGTATAGCTAGATAAGAACAGCCACCTGCAAAAAGCTGCATCTCTTTCCACTTTAGATTATTCAATTTAAATTTAGCCCCATTTTCTCCTTTGCATGGTCCCTGATGCATGTTTAAGGGGATTTTGTAAGTGTGAATAGTTGTCTTGCCCCATCTATGTTCACTCTAACATACACAAGTGCTTTACCTATAAATTTGAGTGATCTTGGTTTAATTACTTAGTCTTACACAAGGTCTTCCTTAACTTCTGAGACAAAATACAGAGGATTTTTTTTGTCCTTATGGAATCTTCATAAACTTAAGTGAAGTGTTTGTCCCATTACTGGTGGGGACCTAATTAAAATATGTGGTCTCTGCAGCCAGCCATGGCTTGTTATAGTGTTGTGACTTTGCTGGTCTTGCAGTTTTGGGTTTTATATATAGCAAATCTCAGGCTTGCCCTGCACTGATTGGGAACCAGCTTCTCCTGCTCTCCTTTAGATTGATGCACAATTGGTTTTATTCTCATATTACCCAGCAGGTACCATCTGTAAGTCTGTAGAAGGCATTGGATTTTTTTTTCGTACGACCACACAGGTATAGCCAATCCAGATTATTTTCCCACTGTGATAACAAGTATTATTATGAGAGGTATATATCCATCTATATATTTTATATATTTATATATAGGTATCATAATATAGATATATACATTTCATGCATACACATACCATATCTGTATGTAAATAAATATATAAAAATTTAGATAAATATACATAAAAATACAAAGGTTTTTGGAATAACTGATCAGCTGAGAGAAGAGTCAAGTCCAGAAGGCAGACTTAAATTACGGAGAGGCCCAGGAGTCTTTTGGTGTTTATCTGACTTTTTGCAGACTACATGGAGAAGCATTTCTGCTGCTCTTGGAAGAAGCATTCGGGGAATGAAGTGTGTTAATAACTGTGCTCTTCTGTCTCTTTCTTGCTGCTGTTAACAGTAACTGTCTCTTTCTCCCCTCTTCCTGCTGCCTTTTCCTCCCTCCCTTTCCCATGTACTTTCTGAATTTATGCAATTGGTCTGTGTATCTTTTCTCTTTATTTTCCCTGCCTTTTGGTTTCCTTTTCTATCCCACCCTATTCTCGTCTCCCCACTTGCTTGCTTGTGCTCCATGTTGCTAGTTTTTATGTTCGCACGCTCATTATCACCCTTTTTTGTACTTCAAATCCCAGCAGCTGCCCAGCCAGGTCCCCGAGCACAGCCCTGTGGTTTATGGGACTGTGGAGAACACCCATCTCGCTGCCAGCACCCCTGTCACTGCGACTAGCAACCCGAAGCAAGGTTTGTTGATGGATATTTCCTTCCTGATTATTTTTAGTCTTTTTTTTTTTTTTTTTTTTTTTTTCTCCTTTCTTGTTTTAGTTTGAATATTTTTGGCATGGAGACAAGCAGTCAGCAGAAATAGGAGGGGAGGGACTTCTTTTTCTCCAGTGGAAGGTTTTAACAATATGTTGCTAAGGGAATTAATTGAAATTTGCCAACGTGAAACGGGCGTTAGAAATAATTGTATTCAAGCTTATATGTCCTAAACGTTGTTTCAGAGTACCTAGAAGCGTGAACTTCCTCTCACCCACATGCCATCCTTCAGAAACAAATGTGTTGTCAGTAAAATGCTCTTAGCCAGAGGGGCTTTACATCATTCGGACAATTAGCCATAGCAATGGCACGTAACCAGAGCATCATATGGCTCCTTCAGAGCTGCTTGTGTATCCTGTCCTGCAGGACATGGGAGATTTTAATTAGAAAAAAAAGTTAGCATGCAAAGTGTCTCATAACAGGTATTGCTGACTTTAGTAAAAATGGCACGGATGGGAAAAGTTGCTTAAAGTGATTACGTTTCCTTCTCATACCTAAGAACGTACATTTGAAGGGAGATTTTTCAAACTGTTCAGAGAAAAGGTGTCCCAGGAGGGAAGATGCAGTGTGCCAAGTCTCTTCCCCCACTGAAATCTTATAGCCACCTAAAAGCCATTAAAAAGCTGTAGTTAATAACGTGTATACTGCTGTCATGTTAACGGACTTGCTGTTGGAATACAGAGTTGACACCGCTGTTTGCTTCTCGGTTACTCACCGCATTGCAGCATTTGAGGTTTCTGCCTGGAGCAACGCGTACACAGAAGTTGAGAAGTGCCATCTTTTACTCGTGAGCGTTGCCTGCAAACTTGGAGCCTGCTGAGATTTTTTTTCGGAGTATTTGCTAGAGGAAAGCTGAGCCCCAGAGAAGCACAGCTCTAGAAAAGAGACAGAAAAGCTGCCTCTGATGCTTCCGATGTCATAGATCCAAACAGCAGCATGGTTGTTGTTTGAAAGTAAAGGGAAGTATCCCTGAGGCTAATTTGTATCAGATTCTAAAATTTACTGACAATGATGCTTTTTATAGCCTTACTGTAAACTTCAGGGTTTTCCCTCAGTTCAGACTGTTCCATGGATACATCTCTAGACTGCTACAGTGTCTAGAAACGGTTGAAAAGGGACCTTTTGGAGATCGTCCGGTCCCATCTCCCACCTGAAGCGGGACTGTGGCTCTCTCTAGATCTTTGTGCAAAACTTCGATGTCTCTGTCACCTGGAGAAGTTGTGGGTGGGTTTCACGTGTACCAAACCGACTGTGACTGTGCTGGCAGGCTCGCTGCCACGCAGCTCTGGCACAGCCGCTCTTCCCGGTCTGTGTCCGTGTGCCCCCCTCTGCCGCCGTGCCCACGTCCTGCTAACTGCCAGGGACACGCTGAGCATGCCGGGGGCCTGGGGGCCGTGGTGCAGGCACCAAAATGCATCTCCCCTTTTGAGCAAGTTGATGCCGAACCATAAAATTCAGCACTTCACGTCACAATATTTCAACCCTGCGTAGGAAAACTTGTATCTCCAGGACAAGCGAGCCTTCTCCCTCTTCCCTCTATCATCTTAACTTAATCCCTTTGTAGGCAACTGGAAGTAAACTGGGAGTAAGTGGTCTTTATTTAGTTAGTTACACAGGTCTGACTGCTGGTTTAAATATAAATCAGGGCTTGAACTGGGATTCAACACTGATGAACTTTCTTGTGTTTATCTCCGTTCCATCCCAGAAAGATTCAAACATTTGTTCCAGTCCAAAAGTTGCTAAAGAGCACATTTATGTAAGCATTGCAGGGAAAGAGCAAGCCCTGAAATAACACCATTAGCATTCAACTGTGGCCTCAGGGTGGGGGGGAGCAGCAGTGGTGTCAGTCACAGGACAGAGCGAATAAAAGCTGAAGGATGTTTAAACACCATTAAAATTATTTATTTAAACTGAGCTAGTGACTTGGGGGGCACATCTTTCCAGAAATACATGCCAAGGTATCAAAATAATTTTTCACATTGTGCCTGATGTTGGGGTTTTTTTGTTCCAAAATAAAAATAGTCACAGATAGGTTTGCATGGCTCTCTTAAGCAGATGTTTATTAAACCCAGTATTACTGCTTCCCTTAAGACCCTTCTGCTGTGTTCATCCTGTGGGTTGGATTCTCCCTCGTGCCCTTCACCTCGTGCACTCCTTTGCATCCCTTGAAATTTGGTATAAAGCTGTCATTCCAATTTTGTGCTATTCAGTGATCATTTTGCAGTTATTTATAACTGCACGCAGCATTTGGCCCGTTCGCTGGGCTGGGGATCGGGAGCAGAGCACATGTGCTGTGCCAGCAGACCCGGCCTCTGTTACTTCTCACCGCAAGTGTCTTCAGCCCCTGTTATTTTTGTGTTTAAGTCATTAGCAAGGCTGCATTTGGGATTGCGTTGCATTCAATATACTTGTTTTTTTTCTTTCAAAGACAAGCATTTGGCATTTGCTGCTTTTAAAGCAGCGTCTGGCTTTTCAGGCTTCAAAATTCATATATGATTTGGAGGAATATAGGAATTGCTATTATAATACCTTGAAAAGTGGCATGATTTAGAGGCAAGCAGTTAGCTGTCGTGCCTGTAGGTGCCCCTGGTGCATATATATCAGCCGGGCTGCGGGAGGCGAGGGGATTGCTGGAGTATTCAGGTCAAGCTGATGGCAGAGCCTGCTGGAGCCTGGCTGCAGGCCAGGCTGGTGCGGGAGTTGTAATGGGGTATAATTGTGCATGAAATCAGAGCTGTCCACGTTTACTCAGCTTGCACAGGTTCAGTGGGATGTTTGGAGTATTATTATTATTTTCTTTTTAAACCTCATTCCAAATCCTGTGATGTATCAGACGTGGAGAATGTATAACACGGTTTGTGGAAAATAGATTAATGTCAGATCCCGGAGTCTGGAAAACTTTCAGCCCCTCCGCTGACATTATGACTCAGTAACGTGTGCTCCAAAAACTGCCTGTGAAGCCAGTGTCTGTACCGCCTCACAAATGTTTGCATCGGGACAAAAGATGGAAAAATGGCAGCAAGCCCAGCGATAATTTTCAGATAAACACCACAAAGCAGAAACAAATTCCCATATCCAGTAAAATCTTCCTGACCCACCACTCTGGGCAACCTTTGCCACTGCGACCACCCAGCAACCCAGCTCCCTCTCTGGCCTTAACGTCTTTACGTGGAGGAGATAGCAAGCATCTGTCCTTCCGAGTTTGTAAAAGTATTTCTAATGAAGAGTAATTTTGCAAGATTTGTATTTATCTGGAGACTTAGGAAAATATCTATTGATGGAGCAAGCTTTCCTCCTGAACAGCCTAGTGCTTCCAGCAAATACTTTCTAAATATAATGTGAGGAATGATCTTGGCATATTTAGGAAAAGGGATCTGATTCAGTTTGGATGAATTGCATTGATTTTTGTTTTCCCTTCCCAACTGTATGTTGTTTCACGTGACTGTTTCTGTAATAGTTGGCAGGGATGAATGTTCCTTTGCCGGGACTTTGAGATTTGTTCTCCGTGATGGTCGTTCAAGTTAAGATTTACTTCTCATTAGCCTAATCTGCTCACTGTTCTTCTGAAATCCTCCCTCCTCAAATTACTTTTCTCCTTGAATTTTGCACACACAGCCTGTATTGGTGGCTAATATATTGGCCAAATAAGGTGTGGTTTGAAGAAAGTGAGTTTAAACTGCTGGTTTTAAAATGCAGTTGTGTATTTCTTGCTGTGTTTTTTATCTCTCGGAATGTTTTTCTAGACACTTCAAATGCTTGCTTTTTTTCTTTTTTTTTTTTGAGCAATCTCATTTGACTCAAGGGAGAAGATATCCAGGCAGTTGTTTATAGTGAGCTGTAAATGTCAAGAATGCTCCATGAGTTGTCTGTAAAGGATGTTCCAGAAATCGGAGGTGACGCATTTTCTTTTCTAAACCAGTTCCCAGGTCCTTTTTCTTCCGTGGAACCTTCAGAATCAAAATCAGCTGTTGGGATACTTTCTCCCATCTTTTTCCTCGTTTGTCATCCTCCTCCAAAGCCATCTCCCTACATGCCTCTTTAAGTTGATAAACTACTGCTTTGGCTGTGATCCTCACTGTAACGCTGCTGGGGCTGTCAATGGCTGGAATCAAAGTTCTTCATTGTTCCAGCTTTTCCTAAAGATGGGACTTGGTGCTCCAAGCAGTTTCGGATGGGTTCTCCTTCAAAAACCCTTTCCCTTCAGCCTGTCTGTTGAATAAGCCACAAATGGAAGGCCAGCAGAGCTGGAAAAAAAAAAAAAAAAACAAAAACAAAAAAACCCACAAAAACAAAACCAAGCAAAGGCACGCCTCTCCCGTTCTACGTGAATTTTGATGATTTGGCATTGGTTGTGGCCTTTGATTTTGTAATCTGAACAGGGAGGTTTGTGCCTCTGGATTTTCCAGAATTGCTTTTTGCTGTCATGGCAGTGTCCCGAAGGAGTTCGCTGTTGCTTCAGTGGTCAGAAAACCTTGGGGCATTTTGCGTTGACGGAGCAGAGCAGAGCTCCCTCCCTGAGGACAGATAAAGCTGGCCTCCTCGTGACGGTGATGAGGAGCTGGACCGCCGGGTCCCTGCCGTCTGTACACTGACTTTGAATGATACCCATCTCATCTGTCTTGCAGAGCTGTAGCACGGCGGCGCCTTCCTAAGCAAGATCTTACAGTCTACCTCTTGTCAGCGAATCGGAGGTGGGAGAGGGCGTAGCAGAGATCCTGTAGAGCCACCTAAAATATTTTTGTTCTTTGTTCAAAAGAAGTGGGAATAAGCACGTTAAATGGAGTTGCACCAGACCTTTGGGAGCTGTGTGATGGTCATGGCAGGAATGATATTGCAAAGTGTAGCTAATCACAGGATAAGTGCAGGGACTTCTCTGTGCACCGTGTGTTTGGATTTGGTTTGATACACGTACATGTTTTGCTGTGCTTTTGCCACCCTGCTAGATACCCATAGCCCACAAACATCAAAAGATGATGCTGTTCTTCGGTAGCAGCTGTACTTAAACCCCTTTTAGGTTTTCCTTTCTTTGGGAAAAAGTATCTTTGCTGAAATTCAGGGAAAAAAAAAAAAGAAGGGGGATTGTGTCCTTTAGTCTGATGTGCTGATGTGTGATGAAGTTGAGAAAGAACAAGTGGAAAAATAAACCAAATGCATCTCACCTATTAGTAGTGGCATGACACATGGCATCTCTAAAAGAATGGCCCGTCATCAGTGGTGGAGTACTTTCCCCATTGTACAAAGGGAAGGGGACTCTGGCAGAGAGCGCCTGCAGGCTGCCGGTGCTCTCGCCGGTGTCTCTGTTTGCCTGCATTTGGGAACATGAGTTTGCCTGGGTCTCGGTGTTAAAACACTGGACTCTTTTGAGGTAGAATCCAAGTAAAGCATATTTTTGTCTTCTGTAATTTCTGTCAAGAAAAGGTCTCTTCTCAGCTGCAGCATTTCTGCAAAAAATCCATATTTTGTAACATACTTATGCCTTTTCTGTAAAGGACGGATGTTTACTGCAAAACCAACATTCAGAAAAACAGAAGCAGCGGTTGCATTTTCAGATTTGCCAGCTGCAGGCTGTCTGGACTTTTCCTTTAGATGCAAGGTTAGCTTCAAGTGCCTTTGGTGTCTTCCTTCGAGCTTCTTGAATAGTGGGCAGAATGCAGGCAAGGAGAGCCGAGGGGGCTTGGGTGCAGCAAAGGAAAATGGAGTTGACTCGCTCTTTGTAACGTTGCCTTTTTTTTTTTCCTCCTTTCCCAGAAGAGAAGCCAAAACCAGATCCAGTATTAAAACCTCCTTCTCCAGTCCTCAGACCAGAACCTACTGGGGAGAAAAAAGATCAAGCTGGCCAGACGACCGAGGCCACCTCGGTGGAAACCACAGCAGAACTTCCTCTTGCTCCGTCGCCAACCCCGGCCGCTCCCGTCGCAGTTGTTTCTACTGCTGCTGCTGCTGTTGTCACCGTTTCTAGTAAATCCACATTCACAGCTGACTCAGAGGAGAAATGTGAACTCGCCTCCCCAAAAGAGGAGGCAATGCCTATTCCTAATGCCGCACCCTGCACAGACACATCAGACCCTTCACCAGCGGAAGAGGCTGATGTCGAGGTGTGCAAGGAGCCTAGTAGTGTAGCATCTAGTGATATTCCAGTGACTGCTAGTACTAATCTAATTAATGAAATGAACGGAGTTAGTGAAAAAGTAACTGCTGCAGAGAGCGTAGTAGATGTAGCCCAGACGGAAGTTGCACCATTGACTGTTGAGTTGGAGACACCAGAAGCACCTCCAGCAGAAGTGGAAAGCGTGCCATCTTCCAGTGCTCTTCACGCTGCTCCCTCTCCTCCTCCCACCCCACCTCCCACCCCTCCGCCTCCTTCTCCTCCGATTTCTGTTGCTGCTGCTGCTGTTACCACTACAACTCCTTCTCCACCTCCTCTCCCATCTCCTAGTGCCCTCCCTGTTGTTCAGGGAGATTTAGAAGGAGAGGAGAGCACAAGAACTACTCTTAATGAAGAGGTAAAAGATACTGAAAAGAAGGAAGAGACAGAAGCAGATGGGCAACTGGAGGAGAGCACGGAGGCTCAGAGTTTAAACTTGAGCAAGAGTCCTGTCCCAGGTAAGCATTCGGCACCGTGGTCGTGTGCAGGAACCCAGAGGACAAAGGAAAGGGGTCCTTGGGGTGGTTCTGCCATCAGATGTTTCCATTCGTATCTGCCAAAAAAAAAAATACCTGTTCGTGCCGCATGACCCTTATTGTGATTGCAAAATGCTAATCTTTGTTTTCAGGGACAAAAAAAAACCACTGACAACTGTTTGTAAAAGAGGTAGCTGGCTCGGCTGTGCGTCGCAGGGCTGGCTGGGTCCATGTGAGCTGCCGGCGTTCGGCTTTCGCGGTGACACAGGGCGGCGCTCCCGGGTGCTGTTAACGGGGCAGTTCAAAGGGCGCTGCTGCTGTTCTCTCCGAGGTGACGGCCTGGTTGGAGGGGCTGTTGCTCTGAGTTTATCAGCCTGTGCCTAACCCAGTTTAACATTGAGACTTCGAAGCCCTCTGGGTGAACCTTCTGAGCCAGCGGTTTCTGGAAACTGGTGGGGTGAGGTTTTGTTTTTTTTTTTTCCAACTATAAAAATGTGTCAGAGTGTCACCAGGTATGGGTAAATGAAATGGACCATTAAAGCTCTTCAAAATGACCGAAGCCCCGAGTGTCACACACCTCAATCTGCCCAGCCTTAATTAATGATGCATCTGTTTTTCCTCTGCAGAAGTGAGATGTAAGCAAAATTTCCCCCTCTCCTCACTCAGCTCAGCTGTTCTCAGTTCACTGTTCTTGAAATCTGCAGAAAACAAGGTGCTTTAGTTCAGGAGGCATAAGGACCTGTTAAAAATTACTAAAAACTTGAAATTTCGGTAGCTGCCTTTTAAAATCCAGGCCGAGTGTTGTTACTTGCCTTTGGTTTCAGCATCCTATCACATTGCTGGTCTAGCATTTAACGGATTAATATAGACCACTGTCTTTATTTGCTGTATTTTCTATAGAAAACGGCTTTTTATTCGGGGCTTCCTGGAAATTAAACTCTGGAAAAGAAGTTAAATCAATCAATTACTTGTATCTAGCTGCTGGGGGGAGTATAATGGTGGCTATTATGCATGCTGAGCAGTGGTAAAGCATTTGAATGTGTCCCATCTTTTACACCCTGTTTTGCAGTCCTTTCAGAGCTGTGAAGCTGAAGTTGTTTATTTAAATATATTCTTTGCATTTGGTGAAGTTTGGACGAGAAACAAAGGAGAAACAATAGGTTGTGATTTGGTTCTTTTTTTTGTTGTTGTTGTTTTTTTTTTAAGTAACATTTAAAATAGGGTTGGGGTTTTTTTTAGCTTATTCTTTCATAAGCAAGCAATATATGTGTAATGGCATCAGTAGCATCTAGGGCTACACTCTGCTATGGATTAAATTAAATGAAAAACTGAGATTGGCCTTATTCCATATTTGTGTAATGCTGCACTAGGTCAGTATGCTGGATCTTCAATAAAATCCAGTATCTAGAGAAGATCAGAAAGAACTCTTCACTGTACCAGCTGCAGGGCTTTTTTTTCCTGTTAATCTTTTTCTATTTTTATTTTACTCGGGTCATTTCACTGCTCTGGCACTTGTTGTTCTTTCAGTCTGAGCTACTTCATAACACAAATTAATTTCCTTACAAAGTAGAGAAATGGAACTCTTTCTGTAAATAAGATTTGACACAGCCAGGTTCCAGCTTGCAATATTATTGCTTGCTTTGTAATGTCCTGTAGTTTAAATTAAAAAAAAATTACTTCTACCATTTTGGGCTTTTAATTATGCAGAAGATTAATTTTAATGCTGTAGTGTCATTAGGCTAGACAGCACACATTAGCCAATACATTGGCTTTGGCAACAGAGAAACAAATATTTCTCAAGTCGTGTTAAAGATCACTTGAAACTCTGATTACCATTAAAAGCTCAGTACTTCAAGGAAGGCAAAACACTCTCCAAGTCAGTTTTTTGTGCCTTACCTCTTCTTTAATGATGTATAACTGTATTGCATTTCTCTGCCAACCTTTTTTGAGCAGTATTTCTCCAATTCTTCCTTGGAGAGAGGAAGAGAGATTTAAATAACGCAGTCTGAAGGTGACTGCTAATTCAGGCGTCGGTCTAGGCTGACCAAGGAATTGCATGTCTGCCATATGCTGGAAAATACAGATGCTGAACTTCAGGAGCAAGGAGAAAGGGCTGTGTTATTGTGGGCTTTTCCTGGACTAAAGGCTGAGAGTCTTTTTTTATGATTTCTGGAGGTACAGTAGAAATTGGGATAAGAGAAACTTCTCAAACACATGGCGGTAAGTGTGAGCTCGTGACTTTTAACAATATTCCTTTGGGGTTTTCGGCAGAAGTGTGTGTGTACTTACTAAAGAGCAGTTTGGTTGGCCACAGATCACACCCCTTTATTCCCTTTGGTGGTAGCTGATCTGATTTGACTGGGAGACTACTCAAACCCAAGACCTCTAAGAATCATCTGATTGCTGCAGCACTTACTTCTGAGTGTCCTTTTCATAGTTAGAGTCTGACCTGCCTGAAAACGCAGGGGTTTCCGAATGAGATGTTAGTCCACCTCCTCCCTGCCGTGGCAGGGCAGTAGTGTTGGGGCTTGCAGGTGTATCCCATATTTTGCGATGGAGGCAACAGCTTTTCAGGGATGAATTAAATTATTTGCTTGTTCCTCTAGCGCTTTACAGACTATACCTTCTATCTAACAGTCAGAGAAACAATACTGTAATTTTTTGCTCCGTCAAGCTCTGTATAGAAAGAGTAGTAAATATGCTCAGGCTGCAGAGGCTTTCCCTTAAACATCTTTATTCACCAGCAGTTCATTTTTAGAGTTCAGGAAAAGGAATTCTTCAGTGTTTGCAGGAAGAGACCGGAGATGAGCAGAGCTGACACTTTTGGGATCCAGGGGAACCTCTACTCTTTCTTTTCCGCTGGCATTAGGTCTCCACCAGATCTCTGAGGTCAGAGGAAGTCTACAAGAGCACCTGTGTTGTATTCTTCTTACTTTGCAGAAATTGGAGCATGCTTTGTTTTCTTTTTTATTTTACACTATATTCTGTCTGCTCTTATTTAAGTTGTATTAACCTGAATAATGAAGGTAGCAATTTCAGTGGCTCAGTGTCAATGTCTGATAGTAGCCAGTTCATCTATAGTCTGCTCATCGGCATCATTGGTCTCACTTGTAATCCCCTATGAAATGGGGAAGATTTGGTGGGTTTCAGAGCATTAAGCCACTGAGAAATGCAGTTTTTTATCCTGCAAGCAGAATGTTATACCTGGGTGTATGGTTTCTTGCTGCTGACTGTGTTCTGAGCACTTGCCAAAACGTGGGGTTAGAGGAGACACGTTCACCCTATTGTGAGTGTGCGGGCAGCAGATCTCGTTCCTGCCTGCTCAGGAACGATTATCTTGAAGTTTTCAGGATGGGCAGAGTTGCTATCTGCAAAGGGCAAGAGCACATAGCTTTTAAAATAATTAATTCCTACTCAGCTTCATTACAAGAAAAAAAAATACAGATATTATCAAGAGAGGAACTCGGCTCTCAGCCTGCGATCCTTACTAAAAAGATTGTTCCAGTTAAAAGTCATCAGCGACAAACAGTTGCTTTTGTTACTAAATTCTGGTTTTTCTCTAGTAGCTTTACTGGCTACAGTGAGGGACCAGCACTTCTTGGGGAACAAAACAGGAAAAATCTTGTTGGTGGAGTGGAATTTCTAAAGAAGGAGGTGCTACCAGAGACTTGAAGCCTTTAGGACATGCTCTGAATGCCTGCCTTTGATGTAATCTTTCTATCATGGCTATTATGAGAAGCAAAGAGGGAAATAAGAGATTGATGTCTGTCCCAGCCAGAACTCCTAGGAACATAGGAAGCCAAAAGAACTTAATGCGCATTGAATTCAAAGGACTGTTTCTTGCAGAGCTAATTTATGAGACATATTTCAACATAAAGTAGCCCAACTGACTGTAAGTCCCTGGGTTTCTTAGCTGTGGAAGCTGTAGCAAGCAACTTGGGGCAGTAATTGGAAATCTTTTGGAGAAATACCTCCAGCACCCAAAGCTGAAGAGCCGGAAACATAAATCAGGTACCACCTTTTTCTTGATTTGCTGCCATTAGCCCACTGGAATGTATTTTCTTTCCCATGAGCTGTAAGGCAATGGTGAGTCTTTGATTTTGTTTTTAATGGCACACTGGCTAAAAAATAAAAATGTAAGAGCTGGTATTAATTTATGCTTAGCAGTTGGCACCCACATCAGAGAGAAGACTGCTTTCTCTGTCTCGCTTGATGGGTTGTGGGCTTGCTGGGGTGGGGATCTCCTGCAGAAAGATGTTCCTCTGAAGAACATGATGTAGCTGGAGAAATGGGTTGAGATAGCGTAGGGTCTGCTGCGCAGATTTCTCCAGTGGCGATACTATCACCAGTAGTGATGTCCAGGCTAGTCTAGAAATAAGAATTTTGTTATTCTTTCCAGTCCTAATGTAGATTGGCGCTGTCACTCCTGTCACCTCTCTTATTTTTGTAAGCAGCAATAAACAAAGAGCTCACAGTGTTGGTTAGGCAGCAGTACGCTGGGTCTGCTGGCGTCCCCCCTCCCACAGAAAGGAATCACCACCTAGCTGAAGCAGGCTGAAAACAGGCCTGGAAATGTGTGAATGCAGGCAAAAATGAACCTCCATTTGAGATTAACAAATTTGATTGTTGGTGTGCATGCAAAATGCTTAATTTAGGAGGACAGGGAAATTGCGAGCAAGACCAGAAGTGGCTGGAAACCTCCCTTGCCAAGAGCCAAACTAGATGCATTACCTTTTGGTTTCTGTATGGCTCACGTTGTGCCTCACAGCTGAAACTTGATTTTCAGATAACACTGTTGTCCTGGTCAGGTTTTAAGTTTGGGAGGGTTGGCACCTAAACTCACTTTAGTTTTCTAAGCATGCATTATCATAAATTCTCCTATTGAGTCAGTTCCTATAGCAGAAAAGAGAATTTAACAGAAAAAAATATAAATCTGATGTCTGCTATTTTGAGAGGGGAAAAATTGAGCAGTGTCTCTGGAGATCTCGCTGGTGTACCCCCGTCAGCTCTGAAATACGGTCGGGTGTTAGTACGGAATTACAGGCTGCAAAACTACAGGGCTAAGCGAAGGCTGCTGCCGCGTCTTGGGATTAAAGGCAAGCGTCTGGCCAAGCACCCTCATGCAGGGAAGCCCCAGAGCAGGAAGAGGATCTGCACAATTCAAACAAGGCAAAAGCTGTGAGACTCGTTCAGGAGGCTTGGCAGGATCGCATCCTTTATATAGCTTTCTTTTGGCAAAAAAGGTGAAAAAAATGTATTATTGAAAAGCAATAATATTAACATCCTGACAGTTGCGGAAGGAAACACCCCAAACCTTGGCCAACCCTAAATCCATGACCCTGAGTTTATTTCTGTGTGTTTAAAAATGAAACATTATTTTACACTGTGAATGTTTTCCATAGAGCTTCAAGCTTGAGTTGAGTGAAATTCTGTCAAATTAAAAACTTTGGGGTTAATCAATTAAATTACTTGGCTATGACAGTATTTAGGTCATTATTGTGCAGGCATGAGCCCATCGTTGACGAAATCCTCCAAGAGTGTGCAAGTGGCATCACCAAACAAGAAGGCATCGTGTTGTGACAGCGGGGCTTGAGGTCCAGCCTTAAAACAGTGGGTTGACTTTTGAAAAGCACCAAATTTTCACTAAATTTTAACAGATTTAGTGGTGGAGGGAACTGTGGAGCCTCACTTGGGTCCGTGCTTTGCTAAATCACAGAAATTACCACCTGCGTGGACACCTGGTCCTTACCCAACCCCGATTTCACCTCAAGACAGTGAGAATAACTCGACTGTTCTTGCGAGGGTACAGTGAATTTCTGTGAGCAGTAATAAAAGCTAATCCCTGGTTGCGTAAGGCAAAGCCATTTTGCAATCCATGCCTGCTTGGCCATTTCTCTACTCTCCTTTGAGCCCCAGGAAATTCAGGGTTACCGCTGGGGCTCTGCTCTGCTCTTAAAGCTTAAAGTTTCTCCACAGTGTGCTGCGATGGATGGGGCGTGCGGGACTCGCAGTTTGGGAGACCCAGGTGATTTTTCCTGCTCCTCCATGAACCATCAGTTCTGTGAATGACCAGATGATGTTTGAATATTAGAATTGGACTTCTCTTTTTGGTTTTGTTTTTTTTGGTTTTGTTTTTTTTTTTTTTTTAACTAAGCTTTCCTTTTGTGGTGTTTAGCAGGAAGATAAAAATCCTTTTATTGGTGACGATAGCTCCTGTTGCGCCTTGGGTTGGGGCCAGCATGCTGAGTGTTGTGATTTCCACAGCCTGCAGTGTTTCTGCAAGCCCATAGTTGCCCTCCAAACAGGGGAACGCTGTTAAGAAGCTGCTGAGGCTCCTACATGTCTTTTGGGGCAGTGGCAACATAGCAAATCCAGTTTTCTCTTTGCTCATAGGAACAAAGTAAGCCACTATCAACGCTCTTTTCATTTACTCGTAGTTGAAGAGCCTTTCAGAGTTGTATTTTATTGTGATAAGTGCACACTGTGTTTTTCCACAGTATCTGCTAGAAACCAAAGGCTCAAGCTGGAAATCTGTTTGCAGTAAACTTCAATGACGAAAATCAATTCGGGTTACGCCCTGTGTTAAATATGCATGTGTGTCTAGTATCAGAATTTAAGCTGGTAGGTAGCACTTGCAACAAATTATGAGCATATTAGATTAATGGTTTTGTCTCCTCTTAATATACTGTGTGGTTTCTTTTACCCTTTTGGGGGGGGAGGGGGGGGAGGAACGTGATTAGAAGAAATCACTGCTGATCTTGGAAATATTATATGTGTTTTCTTTGAATCAGTTGGCCAGGGAAATTAATGAATAGCGGAGTTGTTAACCTGCTTTTAAATTGAAATATAAATCCAGCTCCGTAGAGCCAGTAGTGCTGCAAGATTGAAGGAGTTGTCCTTTTGGAGGAGATACTGGGATTTTTGGCTTGTTTATGGTTACAGTCCAGAGGATGGTTAGTTCTTACAATGTTTTTTGAGAAAAATATGTTAAGAACAACCTTCACTCCTAGCCAATACTTGATCTTTCCAAAAAATTCAATTTCTGAAGGTTTTCTTTTGCCTTGCATGATCCTTATACTATCGGTAATAAACTCCTTGCTATCACAAGTACCATTTCAAGCTTGAATGAGCAACTTGTAAAACAATTACTGTGTTTTAATGTCACACTAATGATCGTGTTATTACTGCATTGAAACAAAAAGTGCTGAATCTTCCGCGAGGCTGCGACTGCTTCATTTTCCTGTATGTAAAACCAGCCTGCGAGAGGGAAGCGCATCACCCACGGCCAGATTTGCTCCATATAATTTAGTCTTGTAATAGATGTACACTTATATTGCAGCCCAAACAGCTGTAACTGCACCAAAGACGTGGAAGAAACCAAAAGACCGGACCCAAGCCACTGAGGAGGTGTTAGAGGCAGAAACAGAGGTAAGAGGGAACCATAGCCTTGCTTTATCCAAATTTAATGATGCTCCTGCTCTCTTTAAACTGTATTTTAGACACATTGCTTCCTAGTTGTCCCACAAGGATCCAGGGCAGACTTCTTGGGGGGACTGGGGAGAAGTATGTTATTCTCCAGCATTTTAGTCTGTTCCCTGTTGAATCCCTTTAAGAGTTTTCTTCCTTCCTGCCTAATTTAACAGCTTCCAACATTTAGGAACGTGTAACAGCTGTCCTTCCAGTGGAGGATGAGATAAAAGTGGGTTGAAATCCCTTAGCACGGCCCCGTTTGGGTCCCAGGTCACTCTGGTGACATCTGGCAAGTGATGTCATTGTGATGTCACGGACGAAGGTTAGTTTTCGGGGTGTCCACCTGATGGAGAAACCGGGAAAGCAAAACATTGAGGTTTTCAGGCAAAACCACTTTGACAGTAAGTAGACGAGTAAAGAAAATCTCCCTTACTGCCGCTCTGGTAGGGGTATTGCAGGAGGAACCTATTTGTTTAGTATCCTAGGTAAAATTGTGGTTAGAGTAGATCACAGAAGGAGTAAGAAAGTAAAAATGTAAAAGTTCAGACTGCCCTGTGCATATATAAAAACTGATGTTGGCCAGATGTGACACAGAGAAGCATTGCTGCTTCACTCCAAATTTTTCTTGAGTTGTTATTCATCTGCTCCACAGACAGGAATAATAATTTCCTCCACAACTTTCTCTTACCACAAACATCGTTGAACCTTTCCGCTCTAAAACCATGTTGTTGCAGAGTAAATCTTGAGTCTGGTGGACTGTACTTCATCCTTTGTATAAGCAAGTGTTTGCAGCAGATAGGCTCATTTACGTGTTATGAATGGTACGTAAGCGCTTTCCTCTCTGTTTCTGGGGAATAGATGCTTAAAATGCTCACGTGCAAGGTATCGTGCTGTGACAGCTGGTCTGTGCACAACGGAAAAGCTGATGATGGGGGAATCCAAGGAAATTAAAAGCAACCCTGTGCTTGTTTTCAAGCCAGAGAGCGAAGGATGTCGCTGGGCTGCACCAGCAAGTTTATACTCTGTGTGCTTGGTCATTTATTGGAGGAGTCTTGTCTCCTGGACCACTCGGCAATTTCACTGATGCTAACTTTTCCGAGTATTTCCTTGAAAAATCTCCAAAAAGCATTTTAGGATGCAGTGCCCTCAGGCAGGGAGGCAAAAGGATCGAGAGCCTCCTCCAGAGCATCCTCGATGAAGTCTTTCCTTTGTTTAATGCTTGGATGAGTTGGGGGTTCTCCCAGGAGAAGCGCGTTCCTAATGCCTCCTCTGTCTGAATGCAGAATGAGGCTGTGTCCTTGGAGAGCTCTAAAATTAACAGCCAGGGATACTATTAATGCTTTTTTCCTGAAACAGAGATGCTGAAATTGTGGCTATATGTCACATTACCTCCTTTACTGGGATCTGCTGCAATTAGCAGCCTACATTTAAAGGAAGGATCTCCCCAAAACGAGCACGGCGTGAGCTGCAGGAGAGGAGAAAAGCGAGGTTGTCTTTCCAGGCTGGGGTTGCTCCTGGCTGTCACGCTGCAGGGCTTAACAGTTCCTTCCACCCGATCCCAGTAGCTCCTGGGGATTTCATGGGCAACACTAAGTCTTTCCAGTTGCACTGTTAATTGTCAGTGGGTTATCTCCAGGAGTGAACCGATAAGCCATCCGGTTGTTCTGTGTGTTGTTCCATATCCCTGTTTCAGATGCACATGTATTCCTGCGACGTGCAAAAACGCTGTATGAATAAACGAAGAGCCGTTCTGCGTGCTTTGCATTTTGTCAGGGTGTTTTTAACGTAACCTCTGTGTTTCCATCTGTGCTTCAGCCTAAAGTAGAAGAGGAACTTTCAGGTGACAAAGTACTTGAATCTGAACAGGAGAAAATGAGCCATGGGTTTCAACTGGAGAGAGACCCCTCCGAGCTTAAAAAAGTGAAATCTGTGGAAGAAAACGGAGAGCAGGAAGCAGAACCTGTCCGGAATGGTGCCGAGAGTGTTTCGGAGGGAGAAGGAACCGATGCAAACTCAGGCTTCACAGAGGGTTCCAGTGAACAGCCAGTGTACCAGTATAAACCAGGTAAATCCTGTTTGAGACTCTTGCATGCTCACGTGGGTTTCTGCTTCCCTCCCTTAAGGGCTGCTAACACCCCGTGCATCCTCCCCGCGGAAGGAAAGATGTTTCCAGTGGGGCTGGAAGCGGGTACGGCGTTGCACCGTGTCCAGCTCTGCTGGGATCTCCGAACCAACAGGCGTAGAGAGAGCTTCTAGGGGAGGAGAGAAAAAATGTTTTTCTCTTGCTGGTGGTAATGAAGAGAAGAGGAAGGGAAGAGAAGAGACGATCCCTGATTCCTTGAATTTATTGCACATGTGGATGTTGCCTGCAGCACAGGGGAAATAGCGGCAAATTGGTTTCCCTGTGATCGACATCTGAGAACGATCCAAGAAATTCCTTATAAGCGGACATACATCTTAAATGAGAGATTTGAAAGTTCTGATTGGGTCCTAAATACAAGTATGTGTGTTTATATAGATTTAATTTCCTGACTAAACAGTTGCATAGATCTTCAGATTTCTAGAAGAGTAAGGAAAAGAAAAGAAAACAGTATGTGGTTTTCAACCCAGGCTCTGCTATTGAACTGCAAGCATGCGGTTCTTTTGATAAAATAAGTTAAGTGTGGGCTCACAGGATGCGGTCCTTTCGTTGCTGGTTAACACTGGATATAGTCTACCCGCAGGGTTTTTTTGTTATTTATTGAGATATTTAATTTGTAGACCTGAACCTCTATTAATTCACTTCATTAAGAGGGACCCTGAGACCAACTTACTTCTCAGTTGCTACCAATTTTTAAGCCATTTCTTATTCAGGTGAAGCTCCCCCAAAATAAATCAGTCATTTTCTTAAGAGCTCAGAAATTAAAGAGTATAAAACAAAATAAGGAAGAACCATGAAAGCCCAGACGAGGTATTGGGAAGGGGCACACAGTGATTACACTGCAGTTGTTATTTTAGCGCTGCTTTGTTCTGACAAAGACCTGAGTTGCTTTTCTTTTATTAATTTGGTGCTATTGTATCGTTACGAGAAAACACAGAGGCCTCTTGATAGTTTAGAATACACTTACGATAGCTTACCAGTTCATTAGTTAAGCACATCTTGAAATTAATCCATAATTCATCAGCTGTCTCTCCAAAACACTCGATGCAGTCAGAACATGATCCCAGTCGGGTCTGGACGTCCTTCCGCTCGGCTGGAGGGGTTGGATCGATCCCTCAGAACGCAGCACACATCAGACATGCCTGCTGCAAAGCAGACCTGGCCACTCGGTGCAATAATACTCAATTTCAGCTCTGTTCCTCATAAAAAGGGGAATTTTTTTTGCCTTTTCGTCGACCATAGGAGGATTTGTGTGTTATATCCCAGTCTTTCCCCTCACTGGGGATCCAGAAAGCCTGCCTGTGACGCTGCCCAGCTGCTTTTCACGTTAAAGCAGCTTGTTAAGATCCTTCCAAGGGAAGGAAACTGTACATATAAACTTTCTTGTTGCCGTCAGTACTTTTCCATGATAAATGGGGGGTGGTGTGGCACACTGGATAGGCAGCTGGCTGGGAATTCTGGCTGGGACACAGCTCGCCCGCCAAACCATTTTCTGCACCCCATCACCCTGAAGCTCTGTAGAAGTAAAACTGGACAAAGCTAAAAATTGTAACTACTTTTGTGTATTTTCGTTCCCAGTTATTAAAACCCATCACCTGAAATAAGTTCCTGTTTGTGGCCTCTGCAGGGATGAGGATGGTGAGAACCCAGAGACCTAAAGGCAGTGATCAGGGTCTGAAATAAAGAAATAACAGAATATCTTAACAGCGGACCTGGACAGCTGGATAAATGAAAAGCAGTGCCATTTGGCACAAGTGAAATACAAAGGCAGCATCTTGTACAGATGTTTTCCTTCAGATAAAAACATGCCGCCCACTTAGGGGCCTGACTAGTCAACCTGGCTGCTGAGCAAGTCCATGTTTTCTTTTCTAACTTCAAACAAACTCTGCGGCCAGCAGAGAAAATCCTGTCTCTAGGCTACCAGATGCTAATTTTCCTTGTGCTGTAATGGCTGTAGGTTTATATTTTGATTTGCATCTGACAAGGTCCTCTGCACCACAGTGCTCCTGCCCAGAAAGGCCTCTGAAAAAATGGGTGAAGAGTTGTAATCTTTAGAGCGTGGCTTGCGGTTGTGCATTTTCTTTTGATTCCCACCCTTATCTCCAGCATGGGTTGTTAGACTCTGTGTTTTCACATTTTCAAAGGTTATTTTTGTTCTGCGCAGTGCTCTCCTCTCAGCTCTGCATTTATCGCTCCCTTTTACACAAAAGCAGCTGCTTTAACTTCTGCCTTTTCACCCAGAAACTGGCAGGTTTCCCCGTTTTGTCGTATCACACAAGGGAGTGAAAGTCAGAGTTAAAACGAGGTGATGTGGATTAAAACTGGAATTAGTGATTAGTTCCATGTGTGGTCGCTGCTGGAGTTGGCTATTTGCTCTCCTTTATTTGTGTTCCTTTAATGCGTTGTGTATTCCTCTCCTTGCTGCCTTCAAAATGAAAATAAAATCAGTTTCCCAGGTAGATGTAGTGATCTCTTCCCTTTGGATCTACCAGAAACACGTCTCTGAGAGCGGAGGGTTTTGTTACCTTTGAATCTCAAGCACCTTTTCTCCTTATAGAGCAGTGGAAGCCCCTGGACCCGGAGGGGAAGAAGCAGTATGACAGGGAGTTCCTACTGGATTTCCAGTTCATGCCTGCCTGTATCCAAAAGCCGGAGGGGCTGCCTCCCATAAGCGATGTGGTTCTCGACAAGGTGAGAGGAGAGCCCATTAAACAGGTGCGTGCAGGTTTTTTTAATACAAATAAAGATCCCTAATGCATGCTTCGTTCCTCGCCCGTTTTGATGCAGACTTGTGTCAGGAAGGGGAAATATGTGGCTGTCACATCACAAAAAAACTCTTCAGGTTGAGGCGTTGATGCCTCATCAATGTGCACAGATTATTTAAAAATGGAATCACTTTTAATGTTCTTTATCTGGATTAAGTTATACCGGTTTGTTATTAGCATTTAAAATGATACAGCCATGGAGACCTAAGGAAGTAAGCAAAGTAAGACCAAAGAGAGAGGCAGTGTCTTTTATTAGATCACTTCTGTGGTTAGAAAGTATAGGCAAGCTTTTGGGCAAACTTTTTTTTGGTCTGAAACAGTTGTGTCACTATTTATGAGCCGATCTAATAAAAGATATTTAAAACCTTGACTCTCAAGAAGTTTTGTGATTTCTATCCAGCCTTATTACAGATGTGATTTTTCTCTGCTGTATGTCTGCGCTTATTGAAATACTTGTTATTTCTGAAGTGCTGACACCAAGACCTCATTCTCGTCTCAGTTAGAACTATGTAGTTCATTGATTTTTTTGATGTAACCACTACAGGCTCACTCTTAAGATTCAAGCACAGATCAGGATACAGGTGATCCTCATGTGCAGAAACATTGCCACTCTGACTTTCATACCCAGACAAATTGTAAAACGCAGCTTTGTTCCCAAAATGATTTAATCCACCTACTAGTTTTCCATGATTGCTTTTCACTGCTTTGTCTGCTTTTGAGCTTCCTTTGCTCAGTTGGCCATCTGTCTTCTTAACACAAAAGATATTTGTTTGAGGAGAGGTGGCAGTTTTGTGATCCTGAACCAAGACTATCGCATTCATTTTGCAGAAGATGGGCCCGTGTTGCTTTCAGAAGTCACGCTCAGCCGTGTGATGTTTCTGAGCTCCACCTATTTCCTCAATAGTCACTCGTGGAAGATGTATTTTAAATTAATTACGTGTTTTTAGTGTAAGCATGGATGCATAAAACTTGCATAGTTTGTTGACAGCATTACTTTGGGTATCCAATATGGATATTGCGGTTTAGCAGAGATTGTCTCTAGACCTGCATGAACTTTGGTAGCTGCAGCACCCGCTAAACAGATCCTGTTTGTTTGTTCTGCTCCACGATGCAGGTCAATCAGCCAAAATTGCCACTGAGAACTCTGGACCCTCGGATACTGCCTCGAGGACCAGACTTCACACCAGCCTTTGCTGATTTTGGGAGGCAAACCTCCGGTGGAAGAAACGTATCTGGAAGTGTGAGTTTACCCCAACTTGCTAATTTAAAAGCTGGCCTTAACATCGAGTGAAGTCCATCCTCGCGCTTTTGGGCCTCTTCCAATGCTCCAGTGGTTTTGGTTTTGTCAGGATTAATGCAAGGGTGATGTTTTCTTGGCAGTCAAAATTTAGGCAAATTAGAAAAACATTGCAGATATTTTTAACTGGTCCATATTGGTCTGAAATGGATTTGATCTCCTTCTCCTCTTCCCTGTGCCAGGAGGTGTGGAAACATGTTTCCACGCCTGAGACCTGGCAGTCACACGTGTGCAAACGCACGTTCCTCGTACAACAACCCGGCGTCAACGTGTGTCATCACAGGAGTCTGTTTTATCAAACATGCCAATAGAGCAAATAGGTTCTACTAACAAGCAAACAAACAGAAAATACACACAGTGCCTGCGTATGTTTGTGGTTTCTCTCTGTTTCCACATGTTGCTTTGCTTTGGTCACTGCATTCCTTGTTTTCCTGCCTTTTGCTCTGCTTTTCTTTCACTTTCTCTTTCTTTCTCTGTGTCTGGCTTTGCCCAAACTCTGAAATCCCTCTCTGAAATCTTCCTTCTCGCCTTTGCCGTCTCTTTTTCTTGGGGTGCAGGTGCCCCCCAGCGCGGTGCCACCCAGTCACCTGCAGCTGGAGGATGGAGGCTGCCTCCATTAGGTGCAATCGTTGATTTTTCATCTATCTATTAAGATCCATCCAGTGCATCGATCCAGATGTATCTAATGAGATAGCCGTCATTTATCTTTCGAAACTGCCGGTTCCAGAAGAGTTCACTGAATAACCTTGACTTCCAAGTGTGCAGGTTTCCAGGAGGCTCGGAGTCAAACCTGGCGATTTCGGGTTGATGTAGTATTTCTGGTTTGGGAGCGGTCTCGTGGCCGGTGCCTCGGTTCCGGGGCGCGCCTCCGTGTCTTGGAGTAGCTTCGGTGCCACGGTTTCTGTCGGAGCACCACCCCGTCCCGAAACCTCGATGCTGTTTGAGGTCGACATCGCTTCCTATATTTAGGACTTGGCAGGTTGTACTCCGACGCCTTCTCTCCTTTCGTGCGCCGAATGTCCCGAGCCTCTCGGCCTCTTGGTAACGTCCCTGTCGCTCTTTCTCTTTCCGCAGGCCTGCAAAGTGCAGAGCAACCCTGGATTGCCTTCCCTGGCTCGGTGCGGTTCCCCAGCATGCCCTCTCTTGGTCTCGCCTCACCCACCATTGAGGAACCTGCCGATAGGGGTAAGCCAAATCCCCCCCTCTCCCCCCCAAGCCTTTGCACCTTTTTGTAGAGTTGTCTTTTTCCCTGACGCCCACTGTTGATAAAAGAACGACTGGCAGAAAACTTTACAAAAAGGTGCAACATTGTTTAAAAAAAAAACGAAACAAGACTTGCATTGTACCCCTCTAGGCAGTCTTCAGTGGTGGGTGGGACATCACCAGCTGAGGGCATGCTGGGACGTTGGCCTGAGCGGGATCCGCGAGGGGTCTGCACTTTGCAGACCTGTGGAAAGGGGGAGAAAAGGTAAGTCCCGCTTACCCCGTTCATTTGGAGCATTCAGCACATAACATACATCTTACATTTGCGCCTTTACAGAGCAGAGCCTGCCTTTGCGGTTTTTTTTTTTCGAGGAGGGTTGGACGGTAACGTTATTTAAGGAGCCCTGCTGCCCTGTGACGTTTGGCGGTTTTAGGATGAGAGGGTTTTCAGCCCCGAGCAAAATCAGACGTTATCTTCTCGTGAAGCATGGCAAAAACCTGCGTGTACGCTGTCTGTCCACTCGATCATTCCACCTCTGCACAGGCCATGCCCATAAGCCATTAAACCCCACTGCCTCTCCCTTGCCCTCGAAATAACGCCGAGCAGCTCAGCGCTAACAAGCTTCCGGCACGTTGAGAACCTTTTGTTTTGCTTCCTTGGCTTTTGTCTTCATTTCCTTCTTTTCGCTTAAACGTGTTGTATGACTGTTTTTAGAACTAACAAATGTCGCATCGAGCAACACAAGGGGTGTGATTATTGCAGGAACAAATTACAGCTAATAAATGCTTTTTGATGTAGACAAGAAGTTAGGTGAGTGCAGCAGGTAATGAGGTGCAAGCACAGAGAAATAGGGTTGGAGAGGACGGGTCCGTGCCCGTGCACAGAGGTGGGACACGTCCGCTTTTATCCTTCCTGAGAGGTGGTGAAACTTCGAGTCTTGCGCTTCCCTGGAAGGCAGAACTGCTTCTGGCATCTCACCTCAATTTCACCTTCTGAATTTGAGGAGGGAGAAGCGGTTCTTTAACTTCTCTGATGTTTTTGAAAACATTGCCGTGACTTGGGTCCTGAGAGTGGAAGCAAACCGTGAGGGAGAGCGCCGGGTCACGCTGGGTTGCTGTGAGTTTTTTGCTCTTCTGCAGGAAGCTTGTCCCTGTTTCTTTCTGCTTTCCTTTTTTCCCCCCCTCTTCATCCAGAAGACAGGTACTTCAGATTAATGTTGTAACATCTGGTAAGCACTTCTCCGCGCCTTGGGCGGAAAATATTATTTCAGTGCAAGCTGTAGCGGTGTAATTGCAGGTGCTGCAGAACCACTGTTATTTACTTGGACTGGGTTACACAAAGGGGGCCGGGCATGAGCTCAAGCACCTCTTTGACTCGCCGCTTTGTATATTTGGAACCAGAACAACCCAGATTTTTTTCTGTTAGAAGCTTGACCCATATATTATTTTATTACACGTTCAAAAGAGGCTTCTGTGTCACCGCTTTTAAAACCTAATCGAACGGTTTGGACCAAATTTATTCACAGAAACTGAAAAAAAAAAATACAATTGCACGGGAAGTCTTTGTTCTGTTAATGCACTTAAAGGTCTGGTCTCAGAGGGTTTGAGGTGACTGTGAGCTGTAACATGCTGATATTCAGGAGATGCACAGGTACTCCTTGCGTCCGTCAGTTCTGCAAGGGGAATTGTCACCTCCTTCGGGGAGGCGTGTTCGCTCTCAGAGCCAAAGCTTCGGCTTTGTGTGGACCCGTACCCGAGGAGGCGCCGTGCCTCTGCAGCCCTGTCCTGGCGCCCCACAGCCCGGCTGCGGGCGGAAAGTCCTTCAGACCAGAGCAGAGAGCGACGGGGTGGCCGCGGGTTACCTCTCGCTGGCTTTGCCCATGTTCCTTGGGGAAAATGAGCCCAAACGTTTTGCTTTTCAAGGCGTGCTGCCAGTCCGGCTCTGGTTACCAAGCTTTCTGGGGGGCAAGGAGGTGTGTGATGAGGTCTAGAGCGCGTGGCTGAAACCAGTTGGTTTTCTGTTGCAGTGTTGTCTGGTTTTTCAGCTGGAGGGAAGTTTCTTCTTTCCATGGCCGTATGTTTGCAGTGGAGTTAGAACCTGGGCAGCAATATTGTGTGAAATTGCACAAAAACAGAGGTGGATGTCTCAACACAGGGCTGGGAAGCAGCCGTGGCTGTGTCACACTAGTGTCAATCAAGGCTCTGGGTGGGAGCAGAGAGGGCGGGTAGGGAGGGACCGGTAGCTGTTTGAGGAAGGTGTCTAACATACTAAAGCATCGTGAAGGCTCCCCGTTCCTGCTGTCTCCTTCCACTGTTGATTCCTCGGGAGCGATTGACTCACACGGTTGCGTTACAGTTACAGCTTGCGCCCCAAAAAATCTGAACGATCTGACGGGTTATTTCCGTGCGCGCCAGTGGGACCTGACTGGTGGCCTTGGCTAACAGGCTGCACCGCGTAGCCCTCTGCCACGCATCGCCTCGGCGGGCGAAGCACGTCACGGCACGAGGTCGTTGGCTTGGACAACATCTTACGCTGTTGCCGTCTCCCCCCAGTGAAGCCCAAATGATACCCCCAGCAGCAGCGGTGGTCACGTCCGTTTGCTTTCAGCAGCGGCACACGTTTATATCATCAAAGCCCAGCAGTTCAAATTGCAGATACAAGCTCCTGCCTTTAAGGAGGATTTTGGTTTTTAATCGTGCAAAAACAGGTTTGGGGCTGGTATATAAGAGGCACCAGCTAAGAGCGCTTTCCTCCTGTACTCAGTGAAGCTGCTCGGGTAACTGGGATGGTTTTGCCTCTCTGATGCTTGTTGAATCCCTTTATTGAACAAAGAAATGTTTTACATGGCCCATCTTTCGCGTGGAGGTTTCCTACTGCCCACTGAAGAGATTAATTACTTCTGTGGAAAGTAACAGGGTTTGATAATGGAGTTTTGTTGCTGTGCTGATTTTTACATTGAGGTTGGACGTTTCTAATAAATGAGTTCAGTAATACTAAAGAGCACAGGGGAAGAATAACCTCCCAACAACATTTGATACGTTTAGTCCTTAATCAGAAGCTCCCAGATGATGAAGGAGGAGTTTGGGGGTGACTTGTGCCCTGTCACTTGTACGACTGATTAAAAACTCCCCAGTTTTGGCAGTTTTCATACCCGATTTGACCAGAAGGAGCGTCATGTTATACAGGATTGCAGAGGCTCTTGATGCTGTTTCAGAGTACTGTGTTTCCTTTTCTTCTACGCAACTGCAAAGCGTTTGACCCATGTCTGTTAGGATCCATATTTCTACAGTGCAGAAGCTGCACTGATGCTCCATTCAGTGTGTTTCATATAATTCCTGTCTCAAAATGGCTGTCTGAAGCAATCTCGAGTGAAACTTAAATGTTTTTGGCAGAGCTGCTAAATGATAATTTATCATTAGCTAATTGCTTGGGTTGGCACGTTTGAAATACACCTGTAAGGACCTAGTTAGTCCTTAAATACACCTTTGCTATGATGTCTCAGTTGTGCAGTGTCTGGCTTTCAAGAGGCCATTTTGGTCCGTTGGCTTCAGTTCTGCAGCGCGTAAGCAGCATCTGGAGCACCACTGACGTGCGTAGGCGGTGGTCATCCCATATCTGTTGCGGGAAAAGCTGCCCGAGAGGAGCGTGTTTGGTGTCTTCGTGTTCCCTCTGACCAACCCGGAGCGGTGTGTTGGGTCGGAGGGAGACCTCAGAGCCCTGGGAGGAGTTGCTGATTGTCGGCGTTGCCATCAGTGGGTGTTGGCGTGCGCCCTGGAGTGTTTTAACAAGATGTGAGTTTAAAAGGGGATATAACAAGGAATGTTTTTGTCCTAGTTGTTGAATGTTGGACCGAGGAGATCTCAGCCAGGCCAGAGGAGAGAGCCCAGGAAGATCATCACTGTGTGTGTGAAGGAGGATGTCCACCTGAAGAAGGCAGAGAATGCCTGGAAGCCAAGCCTGAAGAGAGAAAATCAAACCGAGGACCCAGAAAATGTCAAAACTCAGGTGAGAGCATTAACAAGTGCTTCTGTAACAGGAGGAAGATGGTATTTCACATTTGCTGTTGTGTAAGAGAGTAAAAAAAAAGCAACGAATTCCAGTTTGAATCACAGCTTTCCCCTACCTTGATTGTTTTGTTGGGTTTTTTTCTTTTTTTTTTTTTTCATTTGTTTATTCTTGACCTGGAATTTAAATGGCAATCCTGTATATTAAGCGAGTCCAAATAGGGAACACCAGACAACCTACTACCTCTCTTCCAGGATTGTTTTTCTATTGCTATTTTACTAGAATATTTCTGTCTCCATTCTAAAGCAAACAACCTCAAACTTCCAGCACAGAACTTGCTTTTCATCCCCTTTTAGACTCTGTTTCTGCCCTGAACCTCAGCAAGACTGAGGTTCCTCTGTCAGTTTGTCCAGCCCAGCCCAACGGTGCCGTTTCTGAAACTGTCTCTGTGTCTTTCTCCCCTCCTCTCCTCCTTGGGGCAGCCACTCTGGGTGGAGGTATTTGCCTGGCGGTCAAACTTGTAATATGTAGGATAAGTTGGGATAGTTTTGAAGGACACTGGAATTCTGTTCTCAGGGCTAATGGCAGTGGTGTTGACCCAGTTATCATTCTGGATGGGAAAAAGAAGGTGCTTTAAAGTAAATATAGGAGAAGTTGGTTACCTCTGGTTGAGGGAGGAGGCCACTCCCTTTTAATTTATGTCTCATGGCTAAATTGATATCAAGAAGAATATTGCAGTTGGGGGACAGCAAGGGCTTTGTGCCTCTGTCACGCTTGAAAAAAGCACTTGGGCATTTCCAAAAATCCTGCCCTGCAGATTTCCAAAAATCCCACCCTGCAGCCTCGGTCTTTGGTAGCCAGTCGCTGAGTTAGGACTGGAGCTGGACTGCGCACAAATGTGTGTCTGTGTGTAACTCAACTTCCTAGAAGCTCCTTTAGGACATCATCTCCATTCACCTCAAAGATGCATCCTGGCTCGTTCCTGAAATCCACTTATTCAATTTGTGCTTTAACATACAGTTTTCCTGTCGCTTAGGAGCTGTTCCGCAAGGTACGAAGCATCTTGAACAAGCTGACACCCCAGATGTTCAATCAGCTCATGAAGCAAGTGACAGACCTGACGGTAGATACAGAGGAGAGGCTGAAAGGAGTCATCGACCTGGTCTTCGAGAAGGCTATCGATGAGCCGAGCTTCTCGGTGGCATATGCCAACATGTGCAGATGTCTTGTAACGGTAAGAGCTGCCAAAGCCAAACGGGAAATTCCTCTGCACGGGTGAGTGTTCTGCACGTTATCCCCGTGGACTAATTGGCAGTAATAGAAACGTGGCAAGAGCAGAGTTAAATGTTAGCTTCTGAACATAAATGAAAATAATTTACGCGACAGATTTCTTCTTCTAAGTTGGCTGGCTGTGCCTGCAGGCAGAGGGCTGTGCTTGGAATGATGTGTTGTTTGGAGCTGAGGACACTTTGCTCTGCCTGGTCACAAGATGGCAATGAGTCACGTTTGGAAAGTTCAGTTTCTCTCTTGTTTCAAAGGGAGCCCAAGGTGCAGAGCCAAGCTGCGGCCAGTTAGTTTTCAAATGGTGAATTTGGGACCAAATAACCCCCTTTGCCCCTGATCCTTCATGACATGCAACGAAGGAGCGCGGCTCCAGAGTCTACAGCACGTAACGAGAGTAGTTTTAAGCAGTGTGTCTTTTTAAAGGATCCTGTGAATGGAAATGTAATCTGTCTCTGGGCGGAGGTGGTGTGAGCCAAGTTTTGAGTGTGACTTTACATATGAAATGTAAAACTCTGCTGGAAATCATGACGTGATACTTAACTGTCATAGCCTTGCAGACTTGCATTGCTGAATGCGAAGTGCATAATAAAATGTAATGGATGGCTTATAGGAAACCTCGCTCATATGTAGAGTTTAGCCATACTTCTGCTGATGTTTTTCTTCCTTCTACAGCTGAAAGTGCCCATGGCAGACAAACCTGGGAGCACAGTAAATTTCCGCAAGTTGCTGTTAAATCGCTGCCAGAAGGAATTTGAAAAGGACAAGGCTGATGACGACGTCTTTGAAAAGAAGCAGAAAGAACTTGAAGCTGCTACCACTGTAAGAATTTTCCCCCATAAATTCTCAGAGCTCCCTCTGAAAATGATCTTTTTGAAGATGGCAGTCGATTTGGGGGGAATTTTGGAGTTGAGAGTGTCATTCTGTCACTGTGGCTGAGTGTAATAAAAAATACTTGCCTTGACTAGCAGGTTTATACTAGCATCTTTTTGGGTTTTAGGAGAAAAGAGTAAATAGGGACGACAGCAATTACAAATGTGAAACTGGATCTTTTGAAGAGTTCTGTGCTCTATGAACATGTTTTTTTAGAGCTGTTTTTCTGTTTTACAGCCAGAGGAGAAGACACGGCTCCATGACGAGCTGGAAGAGGCCAAGGACAAAGCCCGACGGAGATCCATTGGGAATATAAAATTCATTGGCGAGCTTTTCAAACTGAAAATGCTGACGGAGGCTATCATGCATGACTGCGTGGTAAAGCTGCTGAAAAACCACGACGAGGAGTCCCTTGAGTGCCTTTGCCGCCTGCTGACTACGATTGGCAAGGACCTGGACTTTGAGAAAGCAAAGGTAGGGCAGGGCCCGGAGCGAGAGACGAGGCTTTCAAGGCAGGGATGGAAAAAAGGGGTGTGAGGTGTTTTTATTTGAGAATTTATTTTTCCTTCAGGAATGAGGCATGAGGAAATCATCTGGTCTTCTGTGGATGTTTCATCACAAGCTGGCCTCGCTCCTTCCTCTCTGCCCCTTTCTAATAGAGTCTGTATCATTTTCAATGGTGTTCTCCAGTTGCTACTTGTTTCCAAATATTTCATCCAAGCACACAGTCTAAAAGTGCTCAACATATCCTGTGGGTTTCTTGTTCCAAACAGAACTTGCCTCTTGTCTGTAGTTTCCAGAACATTGAGATTTACAGTTATTTCTTTGCCATCGAAGGGCTTATGTTTCCTACAAAAGCTACCACTGAATGTATTGTTTGGGTTCAATCTAAACCAACCCCCATTAAGTGGCCTAAACCCCTACCTGAACCTTGGTGGATGTATTTATTTTGTGTCATCACCATCTCCAGCTATGCTGGAATGAAGCAGCTGGTTTGCAACTGCGGCGCTCCAGCAGCCTCCTCTCGATTTTCCAACAAATCTATATGTAGCACGGAGCATTACGCACTCGATGAGCTCCTCTTGGCGCAGACCATCTGCTTCTCCTTCCCAAAAGCCAGGCTTGGGATGAAAAAGCATTCGAGGGTTTTGCCAGAAATCAGTCGGACTCAGCTCTGGAAACAAACTGAACTAATTATTTTCAGCTGCTCGGGAAAGGGAGTTCCCTTACACTGCACTGGATTGCAGGGATCACAGCGGATCAGTCCTGATCCTTACAGGGAAACAAGTTTCCCGGTCTGTTTTGTGAAGCACTGACCAAAACAGTGTAGTTTAACACTAATCCCCCAGACTAAATACCCTGCGCTGTTAACGCAACCGCCTGCGCGTTATTGATGCAGGTTTGGAAGTGCCAGAAGCAGGGATTAAATTCGTCCACGTGCTTCGGGAAGAAAATGGGGTCTGACTTCTGAGCAGTAGCTGAGGTCATGCTGGATGAGTCCTGGATTCTGTTTCGGTCTTCGCAAGCATGGAAACACTGTAAAAGCCAACATTTTGATGCCCTGGCTGGGTCTGCAGCCTCGGGCCGTGGCACTGTGTGGCACGGGGCGTGTGTGCGGCAGGGAGACGCTTGCAGATGTCGTGTTACCCGTGGCGAGAAGCTGCCCGTGTCCTGTCTTCGTGATTTGTTATTTCTATCAAGATTGAGTGATAATCCCTTATTTATTTTCTGTTAACGGGGTAGACGTTTTATTACGTGTTTTTATTGAAGCTGAAGTGTTAGGGATAGTTACAATTAAAGCTTCTGGACAAAGTCCATTTTAAATATTTTCCCCATCATTCCTAACTTTGGAAACATTTGCTCTCAGAGCTGAAAGTTTCCAAGGCAAGGCAAGACCAAATTTTAATAGGGTTTTTCTTGTTTCTTTAAGGGTTTAGCTAGTTTTTAGTGAAGGGAGTGGAAAACATTTTATAAAACTGCCCTGAAACTTTTTGTTTAAAAAAACCAGAGCCCCCCATTTTGGGCAAAAAGGCTTTTTGGAGCCTGACGGGTCCAATTTAGACCTAATGGGTGTTTCTCTAGTGATACCACTTCATGTCATAATGCAAACTGATTTGGATTCAGTGACATCACACCTTTTTGGATGGAAAGGAGCTTGGGGGATTTTGTACTACAGCTAAGCCCAGTAAACAGCATCTTGCTGAGAAAAGTGGTGCTTCTGCCCCCACTTCTCTTGCCTGACCCCGGCTGAGACAGTCTGGGGAGGTAAAGCATCGAAATGGTGTGTGCAGGGTTAGTTTTATGCCCATGCAGTTTCCTGAGCCCGTTTTCCTTGGGCTGAGGTGAGCACACATGCTGATATGAAAAGGAGTTGCTCAGAGGTACAGCAGGACTCCCCTTTTCAGTGGCAGCGAGCCGGTAGATCAGCTTATCTGTACCATGAAAAAAAACGACATAGTTTGATCTTTTTTTTTAATGGATAATGAGTTTATTGTGTACCTGCAGAGGGTGTAGATTGTTTGAGTAATTAAAAATGCAGCAGAATACTGTGTTAAACGAGGTAGGTGCCGGCAGACGTGTGCCTCGTTTCCCGCACATGCTGCGCTGTGCACACTCGAGTCCGGCCTGGGGGGAGCGTACAAGGCCCAGCACTCGCTTCTCCAGAGAGCACCTCTGAGTCTCCAGATATTTCTGGCACAGAACTGCCGTGCTGCAGAACCCACTGACTCCCCACCTGAGGGAGTATTTTCATTTTCTTCCAAGACGCATTGATCGTGATGTTTCTCTTGTGTAGCCTCGCATGGACCAGTATTTTAATCAGATGGAGAAGATTGTGAAAGAGAGGAAAACATCTTCAAGGATTCGGTTCATGCTTCAGGATGTAATAGACCTCAGGCTGGTAGGTACCAACTCAAGTAAATAAAAGATCATGTTCCCTTTCGTATCGGGGCTGGAAGAGCTCTCATGCAAGAGCAGGGATTTACAGTATTTACAGCAGAAGTGGGATGCCGGGGGAAATCTACGCCCCTCATCCCAAAAGTCTGGCTGTTGAAAGGCAAGAAATCTCTGTTTTACTTTACTGAAGGCCAGGGTTGGTAGACAGGCAAACTGCTTGTGTCGGGTGCTTTGGTTCTGCTAGACACGTGCCCACGCTGGCTTCTCCTGCCGCTAGCCCAGCCCCATTGCAGCAGACACTCCTGAGCCCTTTTCACGGGGGAGGTTTTGGGGGGTTTTTCCCCCCAGCATCCCCTGTGCTTGTCTGCGTCAGCCACACTGCTTTGCTCTCTTCATTTCCATGTACTCTGGGTGTAACTGTGTCCTGCCAGCACTTCCTTGTGCTGATGGGGCCGAGCTGCTCCGAGATGCGTACCCCACAAGTGAGGGGGGCTGATTAGGGTGAAAACTGTGGGGGCTCTTTTTCATGGCAGTATGGATCTCCTGGAAAGACAGTCCTATATTAGCCTGTATTGTTAGCACAACCAGGTATCTGCTAGTTGTTTCCTGGCCATATTGTGCAGACAAAAGCAAATGGAGTCTGCACTCCATCAGAATGGGACAATGATGGGTCCACACTAAGCTCCAAAAATTAATAACCTGGTGCAGACAAGTGCACAGCCAGTGCAGACAGGGACCTGCCCATGCTGTAACCAAGCAGTGGTTTTGAACATAGACAAGGTGTTAAAGCTGGACTCTTGCACAGTGAAGGGTGTCTCTACACCGTGACTTGCACCAGCTTTCCCCAGCACCTGTAATTTCACCCGTGTGGGTGCCGATAGCGGCACGGCCTCAGCCACGAGGCAGCACTTGACTGAAGTCGGAGCGGGTTTCGTTCATACCTCAAATAGCTGTTTTGAAGCTGGTTTGGGGTTTTGTGGTGGCTGAAGTCACCGTTTTGACTGCAGGGTACACAAAGATAATTACCCCGAAAGTAATGAGGTTGTAGCAAGATCAAGAAGCAGTCAGGTTGTTCTGGGGATAGATGGATCTGTGCAGTGTGTGGTTGAATAGACACATGAAGCAGTGGAAATGTTTTGTGGAGAGACAGCTCCACCTCTCTCTGCAGGATTCCTATCTCAGCCACCACAGTCCCTGGAGTGGCAAAGCACCATCTCCAGATAAAACACAATCACTTCTTGCTTCTTTATTTTCAGGGTTTCATTTTTTCCCTCAAAGTTTGAGGAAGGGCTCCAGTGAGCAGTGTCGGTAATCAATGGATAGAGCGTGACAGCATCCTCTAGTCCCTCCCTTTCCTCTGAACCTAGAAAGACTGGAAAGCTGGGAACGTGCAGGATGCCAGAGGTTAAAATGTCTTGGATTCAGTCATGCCTCTCCAAAATCAGGTCTTTACTGCAGCCTCCATTCTACAGCAAAACTTAGAGTATATAGCTTTGACCTGTGGTGCTGGGGTAACCACGTCCACCACGTGACCCAGCACCACAAAATCTTCCCCGGTCCCTTGGGGAGCAGCCCCTCTAACACGTTACAAGGGTGGCAGGATTAGGCCTCGTTCACAGTGTTGAAAATACTCCATTTATGGTGCTCTCCTGGAAATGCCTCTGAGCACATGTTTGTTTCTTTCCTAGTGCAACTGGGTGTCACGGAGAGCGGACCAGGGCCCGAAGACCATCGAGCAGATTCACAAAGAAGCCAAGATTGAAGAGCAAGAAGAACAAAGGAAAGTCCAGCAACTCATGACCAAAGAGAAGAGAAGACCGGGTAAAGTAAAAGCCAAGTTGGCTGCTCATTTCACTCATTTTGCATTCAGTGGCCTTAGAGAGAATCCCAGATAAAAGAAAAAAAAAGTGTGTTTTTTTTCTTAAGTGTAATGAGCAAAGGGAATTTGGGCCTGATTATGGCTGGGGCTGGAGAAAGAACAGACTTGCCGTGGATTGACTGGTTGGATTTTTCTGGGGGCAAATCCCTCGGGTAAAAATAAACAATCGCAGGCCAATAGTGCTTAAGTTTTGCATTCATGCAAACCATATTTGATTTTGTGACAGGCTGCCAGAAATCTGTTATAACAAGTTACTACGTAGGAGTCAGATTTGCCATCCATTCTTGCATACAGCAGAATCTGATTTCAAGAGAATAGCATCTAATTTCAAGAGTAACCATGTTGTCTTTAGCTGTTAAAGTTGTGAGGTGTTAACTGAGCATGAGAAAGTGTCTTGGCATTACCTTAAATTGCTACCAGCCCTTAAGGCTGGCACTACCTGAAGATAAATTTGGAGTGACTGGGAAAATGGAGGCTGGGACAGAGTGGGGCAAGGAGAAAGTAATCTTTGGGATTCTTTAATACTAAGGAGAAAGTGCCGTGAAAACAGGGCATAAGGAAAATACCCATAGACTTTGTTTTAATTATCCTAAAACTGACATCAGGAGAACGTAAGGAGCTTTGGGACTGCCTGAATGCTGCTGTGTCTAGACTAGCCTAGCACTGCTGAAATCTGCCGCAAATGCAGGTTTGGGTTAGCAAAGGCACATCATCAGCTCCTTTTGTGAGCTTGTGGACGCGCAGTGTGCGCAGCTGTATCCAGGTTGCAAAACACACGCTGAGGAATCTAACCAGGAAGAATCGCTATCAAAAACAGCCATTGAAAATAGTGAGATCTTTTCTGTCAAGGCTTTTTTATAATAATAAAGCCAGGCAAGCCAGTTATGTCATCTTAGTCTGAAGAAACACTCTGGAAGATGTGATTTCTGCACAGAGTTGTGCTGAGGCTTAGCAGAAACGTGCCATCTTCTTTTCCTTCTCCTGCTGAGTTTGGAGAGGGGCCGCCTGCGCTCTCCCGGGGTGCCGCTGGCGCGGGGGGTGAGCTAAGGGCGGCTGTGTTTGTCGTCTGGCAGGTGTGCAGCGGGTCGACGAAGGCGGGTGGAACACTGTGCAGGGGGCAAAGAACAGCAGAGTGCTGGACCCCACCAAGTTCCTTAAAATCACCAAGGTAGGTGCCAGCATAAGGCTCGTTCAGAGCAACAAAAATGCCGAGGTCTTGCCTTACTAGGTCTGTCTAGGAAAGACCCGTTGTGGTGTTTACGGGTCAAAACTTGTTTTGGGGGACATTTTAAATCCCCAGAGTTAATGCTGTGCATAAAGCACAAAGGAAGACTCGGTTGTCTTCCGAACGTTCCTATTTTGTTTGTTCTGAGGGAAAAGAGTGTGCATACGCTATTTCTCGGGTTCACAGTGTCCCTTTAATGACCCAGAAGTTCTTCTAGTTGGAAAATCTGCATCCTTCGTGATGAAAAGAGAACGTGAGTGGGGTGTCGTGTGTGATGGTGATGCAGCCCATCCCATGGCTGCTACAGAAGGGGTCTCAAACACCTGTCTGGTAGCAATCCTTTGCTGCCTCCAGATCTCAAGACCCTAAGCTGACACCGCTTCTTAGTAGAACGAGGATGCCACGTTCAGTTTGAAAACAAAACGCTCCTGACGTGTCACAGATGGCAGCACTCCAGGCTTGAAAGGTTCAAGTAGTACAAGACGACCAGTGTCCACTTTTATGGCGTTGCTGGACTTGTGTGGTGCAGTTGCATCCCTCAGTGTGTAAACTTTCACACCCATCCTCCAGATGAGCATCTTCCTGTTCTTTTACCATTAAAGTGGTGAGATGGGGACATTTATTTCAGGCTGCAGGTTAGGCAAGCTTGGAGATGTCTCCGTTTTTAATGAGCTTCAGAACAGCTTTGGGATTTCTCGCCAAGAACTCTCTCTTTCACATAAATCGGGGCGATTCCTAGATATTCCCTTGTCCCAATTAATGTCACTCTCGTTGAATTTTACTCTCGGTGCTTGGATGCTCAGAGAGCTGTTAAGCAGAACGTGGACAGGCTGTAGCTCTTCTGCAGATGAAACTCAGTTTGCTCCTTGTGAAAGTCATAAAACAGACTCCAAAACTTAATTAGGAGGAGGGATTCAGCCTCCTTTTGTCTGGGCTTACAGCTCATCTGGGAAAAGTCCTTCTACTCCGTTTACTACAAATATAGTCCGAAAAGAGCCAGCTGCACAGGAGCTGCATTGTGGGAACGAGAGAAGAGCTTACACAGAGAGATCGGCGGGGTCACAACCTCCTTGTCAATAAATTCAGCTACTGAGCATTGTGAAGTCAATGTTCTCTTCTCGTCAGACACCACATTTTCCCTCCGAGTTCTGCAACCTGTTGTCATTCTTGGCCCTCAGAATTCTGTTTGTTGCAGGGCAGGTTCCCCCCAGAGCCATGACTGGTAGGTGGAGTGGACAGCAGAACCGTTTTACCCATCACAGACAACATCTTTGAAGGAACTGATACACTGTGCCTTTTCCTCCTTCCTGAGCTTCGGAGCTCCCAAAGAAAAGAACCTCCTGGTCACTGTGAATGGCTTTCACTGACACTTTGGAAGAGGCTGCTTGTGGTGCCCCTTGTTATTTGTGTCCTCTGCCTTTGGCTAGGGTTTGGTCTTCCAAAAATGTGTTAAAGTGCATTTTGGTATTCACGAGACAGGGATTGTTGTCAAAAAAAATACCCCGTTTATAATTGAGATGTACGATTTGCCTTTGTAATGGTATGTCCTGGTGTGTTTTACAGCCCACGATAGATGAGAAGATTCAGCTTGTGCCTAAAGCCCAGCTGGGCAGCTGGGGAAAGGGCAGCAGTGGTGGAGCAAAGGCAAGCGAGATGGGTAAGTGAGGATGGGTCCTCCCCCTCCGCTTTGCTACCAGCCGTCCTTGCAGGGGTGGAGCTGGGGGGAAAATGTTCCTCTCTGCGTGCCTGCCTGACAAGCAGGGTTGAAGTGGGGCAGGACCAGCCCTTTCCCTTCCGTTCTCTCCCCATCACTTTGAAACCAGCTGTTGCTTAAATGATTTTTTTTTTTAAGCAGCTACTGACCTCGTTGTCGCTCTTCTCTGTGTTGTCTTTACAATCTCCCAGACTCCTTACGACCAAGTGCCACGAGTTTGAACAGATTTTCTGCACTGCAGCCTCCAGTCTCATCTGTATCTGCCTCATCCGCATCTTCAGAATTAGACTCTCGCAGGGCCTTAACTAGGTAAGCTTCAGCCCGACGATGACTTTCCCCGGTGCTGTCTGTATGCCTGTGCTTCTCACTTGCTGCCCTAGTTACCATCACACAGAAATAAGAGAATTTCATTGAGTTCCCAGGAATGGCTGGGTCTTTTTTCCCCCACTGTGTACTTCGAGTTAACTTAAAACACACGTGTATTTTACAATATCATAGGAGAGACAGGTGGTATTAATTTTTAAAGCCATTACAATGAACTTTTTTCCTTTCCACTTTTCAGTCACCCTTTGTCTAAGGATACATTTGCCAGTAGTTTATAACAGGTGAAAAACTCTTCAGGTAAAATGCTGTAATAAGTATGTATGCAGGTTGGATTCAGTCAGATCAGTAGGTTGGTTTATCCAGAAGAACATGCCTAAAACCTTGCAGAAATTCAGGAGGGCTCTTAAAAATCTCTGGCTGTGTTCGACCTTCCCGTTGGGTGTGACCGAGCCTGCCCGTGGTTGCGCGTCACGCCACGGGTGCGTGAGGCTGTGCAGTGCTCTTCCACACCCCGAGTTCATCAGCTTGTAGTGGGAAACATATATTAATCCGTGATAATTTATGAACTCTAGACACGGATTATAAACGTGCAGTTCATTTAAAATGTTACTGGTTCTTCCTCCCAGTACGCACAAACTGCTGGACTGTTTTCATGGGTTTGTCCTTCTGATGCTTTCCCTCCTATTTCACCTAAAACTCTGGCTTACAGGGAAATTATTCCATTTTGGTGTTGGTTTGCCTGTCTTACTCATTAACGTAGTAATTAATAGGACAGATCCTTGTCACCTGTTGCTGGTAGCCTTCACTATTTTTCAATAAACGGGTGAAAAATACACTGCTCCTAGCACTTCACAGTAAACCAGTGCCTTTACATTATAAAATCCATCATTTTACATATAAAAGGGGTGCTGTAAGGACTTGGTTGCTTTTCCATGTGTTCTCTAGGAAGCGTTGGCTCTGCCTGTCCTCTCTCTGGATATCTGTGTTTGTGAATTTCTGAGACTTGGGTTAATTTTGATTATATTCAATGTAGCTACAACCGTAAAAAAATTGAGACAACAATCCTGCTGGGTTTGGTTTGCATTTTTTTTTTTTTTTTCCCTGCAGTTACTATAAAGCTGTCCGGTATCTTTTCTAACATTACCAGCACTGCGAGCCGGGGTCACTCCTACCATAACCTTGGTGGTTTTGTTCCGCAGTCGCGGGAGCACGGGCAGGGAGAAGAATGACAAACCTCTCCCACCTTCGCTCTCCCGTCCCAACACCTTCCTGCGGGGCAGCAGCAGCAAAGAGCTGCTGCTCGACAATCAGGCACAGGAGGAGCAGCGGAGGGAGATGCTGGAGACGGTGAAGCAGTTAACGGGCGGCATGGAGATGGACAGAAACAGCACGGAGGCGGAGAGGAGCAAAGCCAAGGAATCTGGTAAGCGGCTCTTCCGCGCGCGGGGAATCTCGCTGAATGTGTGAAAAGACACAAGGGGAAAATCTCAGAAGAAGTGACAGGTTTCTGTGCAGCGGTGTGGATATTTGGCCCGCAGTGACTCATCGTCAAGCTGCGAGAGCTGTGATCTGCCTCCCAAAGGTCTGTAACACAACTGATTCAGGCAGGCCTCGGTGCCAGCTCCCCCTTTAAGATTCATCAGAGTCAAAAGGCTGCAGCCAGCAGCGAGGCGCCGCTCCGCGGCGGTGTCCTCCCCGCTCAGCCCCTGCCGCTCTTGCTGCCGCTTCGTGGGCTCAGAGCCCCCAAAAGCTGTGTCGCTTCTGGAGAACTACCTCTTCAGGGCCCAGTCAGGCCACACCGACCCTTCCCAAACGTCTCCCAGGGCCGGAGCAGCGATTTGGGTCTGGGACAGACCCCACGCAGCAGCTTTTCAGCGCGGCGTAGTTGCCAGCCCTGCTTGTGGTGGATCTGAGCGCGGTGTGGCGTTAGCGCCCGCTGGGGTGGCCTGGCGCCTCGTCAGTGCTGCAGCTCCGGCTTCCTGCTCCTGCCAGCTCGAGCTGGTTCACGGCTGAGAGAATATTGAGGGCGCTCGGGGCGACGTTCCCTGTGGGCAGAACCTTGGCGATGAGAAGAGTGTTTTGCTCTGTCCCTGGGAAACAGCTAGAAACTGGTACAGTGGGGAACGCACCTCGGCTGTCACGACACAGCACACGCCCGTCTTGAAGCTTCGGGACTTCGTAAAGGACGTTATGGGGACCCAGGTTTCGGGGATGTGATCAGGAGATTGCTTTGGGTTGCCGCCCGTTGCCGTCAGCGTGTTTTAAATTTGCAGCGTGCTGCAACAGCTCAAAGTTTAATCTTTTAATGTTGATAGAGAGCTTTGAAGGTGTTGCAACCTGTGTCGCTGCCAGCGGTGTTTCTGCGAGAAGGCTGATTTACAGAAATATTGGGAGTTGATAGAAGGGGAAATGTAGCCAAGAAAGAAGTGACCCGTGCCAAACCACGGGACGGGGAACACACCCTGCTCTGGTGACTTCTGTTTTCAGAATGTCGTGTCTGAAGATGATTCTGATTTTCCTTTTCCAAATGTGGGGTTTTTTCTTATATTTCTGCCAGCCAAGCCAGAAGCTCCCCCAGCTCCAGCACAAGAAAAGCCTTCACTATCAGAGGAGGAAATAGAGAGAAAATGCAAATCTATCATTGATGAGTTCTTGCATATTAATGATTTTAAGGTAAGCGAAATTAAAACCTCACTTACTCGAATCCCACAGACCTTTCTGCCATGTTTTCTCTCCAGGAACAGTGTCTTTGTGAGCACCCAGCTCGCAGAGAGGTGAGAGAAACCGTGGGGGCTGTCAAAATTTGGGCAGCAGCAGTTCCATGAGCGTTTTTAGGACAGTTGTCTCCCAGACTTGTTTTCTGCCCTGGTAGTAATAGGAAAAATAGCCCAGCTTGTGTGTTTTAACTAACAAGATGTATGTGTATCTGTCATGAATCACTGAGCAGCTCCATAATAACAGCAATTTTGGAAGCAGAAAAGCTAGTGGGAAAATAAACTGAGGTTTTCATTCAGTTATCAAAGCATGTGCTGTTCTGATCTGGAGGCAGATAAAGCAACACTAAATATTGAACAAACCACTCCAGAGTATTTTTAATAAACACTGAAAATTACTGAGCAGCTGTCAGCACTTCCTAGTTAAAGGTTGAAATTTTGTTTCTCTTCTAAATGGATTTTTAGCTTGTCCAGGGAGTTTGCAGGATGTGTTACGTTTGATGCAAAGCTGATTGGGTTGATCTTTTGCTGAAATAAATGTTAAAAACCTGCCAAGTTTGAAACGGCAGCACTAGGGAGCTCCTGGTTTGGCACCCTAAAAGCAGAGTTGCTGCTTGCGCTTCCAGTTAAAATCGGAAAGAGGAATATTCTTGTGATGGATTGTTTTCGATCCACATCTAGTTATCAGGAGAAATTATTAAATCCCGGTTTGGAGGAAAAAATAATAATTAAAAAAAAAAAAAAAAAGTTTCAGCAGGGCTGCTTAACAAAGGAGTCTCCGGTCCTTTTTCTTTTTGCAATAGACTTCAAAGTCTGACCCCTGGATGTCTGGGGCTGAGGGGCTGCTTCAGTTCCTCTGCTTGCAAATACAGTGACACCTTTTTATGGCCGGATGGAAATAGAGTTGAATTGTATTAGACCTGTGGTTTAAAAAGTACATGGGGCTGAGGCAGCTCATTTGCATTAGGGGCTGCTTGCTAACTGTAAATTCTCAGTGCTCTTCAAATGCAGCGTGCGGCAGAGTTGCTGACGAATTCAGCTGAAACTCACATTCACAAGGCCCTGTGTGAGCGTGGTAATGTAGTCTGGAGCAGAGGAATAGCCGTTTCTCGTGAGTTTAGTCTGCAGGATTCATCCCGAGTGTAAACGGCAACTGCTGAGCTGTACGCCGATGTCCAGGGACGGCGGGGTGGGCCAGCGGCACGTCCCCCTCTGTGCTGGAGACCCCGGGACCCGTGGGGCGCGGCTGGCGGAACAGCCCTGACCCCGCCTGCCGTCTGGGGCCTCCCGGCTTGAGACCTGCAGGAAAAAAAAGCTCCTTGGGGCCTGCAGAAACGCATCTGGGGCTGCCAGTTCTTGATAACGGGGGGGGGGGGGGGGGGGGGGGGGGGGCGTAACCTGAGACAAAGAGCAAATGTCTGTAGTCAGGAACCCTGCTGAGATCCCTCAGGCAGGACCTAGAAGGTCACTGGAAGATCTTTGCTGATGACAGTGGAGATTTTTTGAAGTGTGACGTTGAGCACTTCACTGAAAGTCTCTGTTTAAGAGTGTTTTATTTGCTTAGGTTACAAAATGTACATGCCAGAAAGTAGAAGCTTTATAAAAAGGAAATTTTCCTCCAAATGCTACCCACCTGTTTTCTGCTGCTTTATGTGGTGTGGGTTTGTAACACAGGCATCTCTGTGCCAGATCAGATAGGCAATGAATCTTACCTGATGTCCTCTTTTTGACTTGGCTTGATATTTGATGAAATAACGGGCATTTTGGTGACATCCAGAAGACGATTCCTGTCCTTTCCCTGAGCAGCCGGGTCGCACCCTGGAGCCTGATGGTGTATTTTAAAAACGGTTGCCTGCGTGCTATGAATTCTCATCTCTTTTTAAAATATTATTGTTATTCAGTTGCCATCTCAGTGCTGATTCGTGATGAGGTTCTACAGCCTAGTTTAGCACCTTTGCCTGGCAGCTTCACTAAATACTCATTTCCAAAAAAAAACCCCAAGGTTAGTAGTCTCTTGATCTGTCATCAAAAAAATCCCCATCCTGTGTACCAGGCACTAAGCAGCACACGCTGAACTATCTTAGAGTAGAAAATGTTCTTGTGCCCCATTTCTTGGTGTTCTCAGTTCAGATAAACGATCCCGTGTGTCGTTGGGACAGGAGGCAATGCAGTGCGTGGAGGAGCTGAGCGCCCAGAATCTGCTGCCTGTTTTCGTGCGAGTGGGAGTGGAGTCGACGCTCGAGAGGAGTCAGATCACCCGGGATCACATGGGCCAGTTATTACATCAGCTGGTGCAGTCGGGAAAGCTGAGCAAGCAGGATTTCTTCAAGGGGTTTGTATTCTGCGCGTAGAAATGGGTGCAGGGGGGTGATTTCCCACCTTGCTCTGGTATCCTGCCTTTTCCATGCCCCCGTTCTGAAGGAGTAGTTTCACCTGGGCGTATTGATAAGTAATATAATTATCGTAATGCTTAAAAATATATTACAATAAATGTATTTCACATGCTTTAATGAATGTAAATATTTTCATCTTCATATAAGTATTTATTCGTAAGCAAATACGCAGGTGTCTATTTAAATGTGTGTGTTTAGATTTCTGGTCTGTGGTGCATTTGTCAATGTTCGCCTTTCGGCAAATCGCCGAATACGCTTAAAAGAGGAGGAAGGAGTCAAGACTCTTCACATGACATAAACGCCTGGAAGCCGTGTAGCCTGAAGTCCTGTGCACCCACAGGGCCGCAGCCACCCTCCCACTGGTGAAACAGGCTTCACCCACGAGGCACCATTTCTCAGGGCAACTCGGCTTTAAGGAGCAGACAGGTCCTCGGGGGGCTGAGGAGAAGAAAAGGCACCAGCTGCTCTATCGGACGGGTTGGACCTTCCTCAAGAGATCGGAGTTTCAGCTGCTGGTTCGTCCCCGCTCTCTGGGTTTGAGCAGGTGTCCAGCTGTAAAACCATGGCTGTCCCCAGGGAGGCCCCCGCCCCGCTCTGTCCTCGCTGGGGCTTCCAGCAGGATGATTGGAACGGGGGTAACCACGAGCGGCAGCCAGCAAACGAGCAGATGAAATAATGCTTTCAGATCCTGAGCTCCTGGGTGGTTAGCCCAGGCTTGCTGCTTTTGTGCGAATCTCTTCTCGCCGCGGTGCCGCCGACCGCTCTGACGGCGCTGTCCCTGCGCCCGTGTCCGGCGGCGAATTTCATCGTGGCGCAATGCCAGGGCTCACAGGAAAAGTCGAGGCAGCCCGAGTTCAAAACTGTGTGGAGCAGCAGTAAAAAAAAATACAGATCCACGGGGAGTACACTTGCCTGTCCACCCAGTTGCTGATGGTCGAAACGACTAGTTTGAAGTGATACGTCTCCATAACGGATTGTGATTAAAACGGTGCCTGTGTCTCCCGGAGCGTGGGCAAGTGGTTGTGATGCCACATAAGTAGGATCTTGACGCAAGTGTGGGACGCGCAGTCTGAATGTGGCATAAACACAGTGAAACAGCTCCTGGAGACGATAAAAGGGCAAGTGGTGTTCAGCGGGCACATGAGAAGACGACTGGAAACCACTGTACTTATTCACGCAAGAGAAATTACCGTGTAATTAGGGGTTATGGGATGAGTGCTGGTCACAGCACAAGTCTGGAGGGACACACAACAGGAAACCGATTTCTGGCAGAAATGCTTGAACAAACCTGGGTGGCAGAGGACATAAAGAACAAAGCGAAGGAGATAGTTTCTGGGTTTGAAGCACAGGGGAAAATACGCATTTATAGTCACTGAACTGGACCCCAGAATTTTCAGGGTGAAATGAATCGTGATGAAAACTACCAGGAGAGCCAGAAGAACGGTCAGCTCGTACCAGCTGTGGGAAATGAAGCCACCCAGGCGGCTTTGAGCGGAAAGAAGGAGTTTTGAGCATTTCTGGAAACTGTATCCAGTGTTGGGGGGCAATTTTGTAATTCATCCTGCTGTGTTTTCTGTTCTGGATGGACACCTCCCTCCGCTGTACTGAGCTTTTTGCTTGTGTTGTTAACTTGCTTACAGAGGTTTTGCTGACTGCCTTATGTTTGGACTTCTGTTATTATTAATCCCTCTTCTGCAGATGTTTGGATAACTTTAAGAAGGCTCCATTTATTAAATGATTTGTACTTATAGACAAAAGTGCTTTTTAGTTTTACAGGTTTACTAGTTAGCAAACAATTTGTTACTGGGATATAAGAATTGTTGTAAATGGAGCTTTCCTGGATGTATCTGCTGGTTTTACGGCGGGCGATGCCTTGTGCACCGCGTGTTGCCGCATGGAGAAATTCCCTCCTGGCAGGTTTGAAGCACTGGATGTGTAAGATGGCAACAGGTTTTTTTGTTACCTTTGTGATTCTCTTCGTTCCTCTCTTCGCTCCTCTTTCTGTAACGAAGGCTTTTTAAAATGCAGATTTGTTGTACAGGAAAATACTTAAATTGTCTTTAATGTTTGACATTTTTCTTCCTTCTTTTAAAGCTTTTCCGATACCTTGGAGATGGCAGACGATATGGCCATAGATATACCCCATATTTGGTTGTACCTAGCTGAGTTGGTGACCCCCATGTTAAAAGAAGGAGGAATCTCTATGAGAGAACTTATACAGTAAGCAATGCTGGTTGTTTCCGCTGTCTGCCTGGCTGTGCTATAGTGTTTTCACAGCGTGGTTCCCATCAGTAGATAAAAGACAAGTGGTGGTGGAGGTTCATCTTGTCGTACGAGCTGCTAAAAGCTTTGCTGCAAATCATTGGGCACTTGCAGCAGGAGGGAGGCTGTGGAGGGAAGGGAGCTCGCTGCTCTCGAGTCGCTGTTCGGGGGCGGAGGTTTGATCCATCAATCTACTTCAATCCTGTGTGTTTCAGCTGAGCTAAAAAATACCCCGATGTTGGACGGTCGGAGTTATTTGAGAGCACACTCTGAGAATTAGACTTTGAGAGCGAGGTGCGCGCAGGAGCCTTCATGTCTGAGAGTGTAAGAGCTGCCACCTGGGCGTTCCCTGCCTTAAACAGGCACAAACCCCTGCCCGCAGGGCTGGAAACTGCTTCCAGGACCGGGGGTTTCTAGATTTTGTACGTGTCCTTACATACTCAGGGATTAGCTAGAAGCCAATTGAATGGTTCCCTTTCTCTGTAAGTAGTGTATTAAGAAAATAATAGCCTTTTCCCCCCAAAAGGGTCCTGCTGCCCAAATGCAGCATCCCACAAAAATGAGTGGGTTTGATGTTACATAAAAATAAAGTCTTTGTAATTAGCTCTGTTGTGGCACGTGCACTGCATCACCGAAGTCTGTTTTATCGGCAGTGCTAGCTGGGCCAAATCCTTCATCCCTGGCAGAAGTTAAAGGTGATTTCCTGCCTCAGTTTGATCATTACGCCTTGCCTTGCATTCCAAATTCAAATTATAAGGAAAAATATCTGCTTTTCTTTCATTCTAGAGAATTTAGCAAACCTTTGCTTCCTGTGGGAAGAGCCGGCGTCTTGCTTGCTGAGATCTTGCACCTTCTATGCAAACAAATGGTGAGTGTCCGGGTGTACCGCTCCTAGTCACGAGCTGGGTGCTGCGGGTACATGTTTATGCACGAAGCCTACACATTTCCCACGTGCAGATATTTTGGGATGGGCCAGCCAGTGCAGATAACCCAGGAAACCTGCCTCTTCATCCCCATTTCAAACCAAACCTTAAGAGGTTCCGGAAAGTTAACTTTTTTTTTTTTTTTTTTTTTCTCATCACTTTTCCCTTTTGCAGGTACCTTTGCACCTGGCTTCTCCCAGAAGCTAGAGTGCTGAAATACTGCAAGAGGGACATTCTCGAGGTATTTTTGGGCTGACCAGAAGCAGCAAGTGCCGGAAATCTTGCGAGAGCTGTTCTTGCAGACCGGAGAGGTTCTGCGGGTTCAGATAAGCTTCAGATGGCCTCTCAGACTTCTGGGTGCTTATCCAAACTAAACCTGCCAACTCTCAAAGTTTCACCCATCGCTAGGGGTAGTGACACCTCTTCACCCTGTAACTTCTAGAGCTCTCTTACACATTTCACAGTTGTGTGTCCAGACAGTTTGGTGGTTGCCCTATGACTCTGTCTCCATTTTTTGGTCTTTCTTGTTTTTTTTTTTTTTAACCCAGTTAAATACTGCACTTTGGATAGTGTCTATTTTCAACCCTGTAAAATCCCTCACTTGCCCTTTTTCTTTTTTTTTAAAAAAAGCATGCATTCAAATAAGGTCATATGTTCCAGCAGCATTTCAGTGCAACTAGTGACTTTTTATTTATTTATTTTAGTCTCATGCTTGTTTGGACAATCGACTCCATTTATTTTCCTCTGTTCTGTGAAAGACAAGCTGCTGTGCTCTAAGGAGTTGAAGCACAGCCTTGGGTTTCTGTTTCTGCCACAGCTTTCTAATTTGATCCTGTCCAGGCCAATACTTGCACTCGAGTATTTCAATGCAGTATCACTCAACTCATTCAGATCCTGATGAATCACAGCCGGAACTATGCACAATTAGCTCTTAATGATCTGCGTTGTAAACTCAAAATTGTAATCTGCTTTGTGAACTGAAAATCAGGCTGCTTTTACCAGTGCTTACCTTAGGCTACGCAGTGGTCTCCCTTGTGCAGGTGCTAGAAGGGAAAAGTTTAGTTTTGGCAGAGTGTTTGGGTGAGAAGAGCTGGTTGTTAACTAGTATTTTTATCCTTGTCAGAACTGTGTGTGTGCCGTCTTAGGCGGGATACGGAGGGGTCAGCGTGACATTAGGGGATGCAGAAGGTTGAACTGTATGTGCTGCAGAGACGCTTTTCTCAAGGTTTGCAATAAATTCTGGGAGCGAACCTGGGTTTAGGTACCAGAATTTGAGGCTTGATCTCTGCACAGAAAACAGTCATGTAAATAATTAATTTTCTAAAAGTAGCTAATTTGCTGGTGCCTTAATGTCAAGGCAGGGGGAGAATGAGTCACAAAGTAGGTTAATGACAGAGTCAGGAGAAGTCATTTAACTGCCAGCTTTGTGTCACGGCCGTAGGCAGCTGCCTCGTTCCGATGTGTCACTTTTCCTCGGTAATCTCTGGCTGAAGTTGTTGCAAACCCCCCCTGTGGCACATTATGCCTTGTTTATTACCCAGCACCGTGGCATTTGACCACTTGACAAGATGTGCATACCTGTGGCAGGACTGTGTCTATAATTTCTCTTGCACGAGGTTTCCAGACACTTCACTTCATTGCTGGGCATCTTGTTTGGTGGCTGAACGGTTCTTTATTTCTCCTGACACAGCTGCACCGCTCTGGCTTTTGTAAGCTCCCCCTGGTTGTCTCTTAAGTCTTTAAAATGAACAAACTGTTTGTGTTTTAGAGCCATAAGAAAGTGGGAGCCTTATGGAGGGAGTCTGGCCTCAGTTGGAAGGACTACTTACCTGAAGGGGAGGATGTACATACCTTTCTCATGGAACAAGTGAGTTCAGAGCAACATCTGCTGAAAGATTTTGGCACACCGATATTTGGCCCCACGTCCCGTTTGTTCATCCATTCCCATCCCACTCTTAGGTGTAGTTGTCACTGGACGTGGGGTGAGGTGCCTCCCTCGCCAAGGTGGGGTTAGGTTATTTCAGCACCTCCTGCCTGAAACGCCGGGAGGGTGGGCTCGTCCCCTCCGATCCCAGGCGCAAATCTCCCGTCAGCTGGCCGCCTCCCGGAGATCTTTCTCCAGCTGCGGGGAATGAGCTTTTTTTTTTTTTTTTTTTTGCAGCAAGGATAGATGATCTGCAGAAGGGCCAGAATAAATGGCAGCAGTTCCTCACTCGTCCCACCTTGTGTTGTGATCTGGGGGGGGTCTCGCGACCGCGGGGAGCCAGGCCTGATGGCGGGCGCCTTGCTGCTCTTGCTGAGGTGCTCCTAAGGAAGAAGCTGGATCTCTCTGGAGCCCCAAGCGATCCCCTGCCCTGTTTTAGCACTTAGGAAATGCTGTGCTGCAGGAAATTAAATGGATCACCAAGGCCTGGGGCTTGGTGAGGGGAACTGTAGATCCTCTGTCGCATTTTGCAATGAATTGGGGCGTTAGCTGCAATTTCTTTGAGCGAATGGCAGCTCTGGGAATTGCGTTCCAGCTCCCCATCGTTTCGGTTGAGCAACACACACTGTATTTTGTGCACACTCGCATTGTGCAGGGCTGGAGTTGCTCTGAGATGCCTGGTTGTCTTTGCTGGGTAATGGAGTTCCCACGTGTTTGTAAAATGCTCTCTAATCTTTGGAACAGGGAAAGCATATAAATCATTGTAATGATAAGTTAGCAGTTGAAAGGTGCCAGAAAGCAGAATGAAGTGTAACTTGCTGCCTCAATTTGGTATAATTCAGCGTAGGAAAGTATATTTAACTAATTCTCATCATCACTTCTGATGTTGCAGAAGTTGGACTTCACAGAGTCCGACTGTTCCAGTTCCTCAGAAGCACTTTCAGAGAAAGAACTCTCTGCGGAAGAGCTGAACAAGCAGCTAGAAAAACTCATTGTTGAGGACAAGGCGAATGATGAACAAATCTTTGACTGGGTAGAGGTACAAAGACTGTTTTCACCCTCCCTGCACACAGTTCACTAACTGCTTTTGTAAATATTTTCTTACCTAAAGGAGCCTCTCTGCAGGCTCCCCCCTGGGCACAGAACACTAAGATGATTAGGTCTAGGCAATCAATGCTTCCAAAAAATTAAAATCTAAAATATCATCAGTCAGTTATTTCATAGTAAGCTTTAGGAAGAAAGAATTTTGTCCATACTAACATAGAACTGTGTTACTGCCTTTTAAATACTGTAAACTTTTTGACACTGAACACCCTGCTTTTGGCTACTTAGTACGTTTTTAGACTCAGTACATTGCTACATGCCTTCTTCCCAAAATACGGAATAAAAGCTTCTAACTGCTTTTTGCAACATGACCTACACAGATTCCCCCTTGCCCAGCTGCATGCCCTGCCATGCTGCAAAACCACCCTGGGCAGTCATCGAGGGCTTGTGTACCTCTCCCCATGCATTGGGTCAGGCACTGTAAGGGAAAATAAAGAAAAAACCAGGAAAAGTAAAAAAGCACTGTCGACCCGCTGATCTTTTGACCTCTATCTCTGGCTGCATCCTTTAAACCAGATATTTAATCGAGTGTCTCAAATGATACCCGACCTGATTGATTTAGATCTGCGCTTACAGCTCAGTCTTGGTCAGCTTCATTTCAGTTATTTTTATGGCCAGAGCAATGTGTTAGAAATGTCATTTTTTTCTACTGCCATTAGAGAAGTCGAGAGTGGAATGAAAGCAGCGCTGAAAATCTGGGGACACCCACAGGCTCTTTGTAGTCTTGGACAAGTTACGTAGCCATTCTCTGAATTTCTTCCACAAAGCAAATCTCCGCCCAAGCAGCACGCCGTAAAATTGGTTGAAAGAGCCTAAAACTCTTAGGAAATGTATAAGGGCATTGCAAAAGCCAAGCGTCGTTGGGTTGGTGTTTTCCTCCAGACAAACGACGGCTTGTGGGCGTAGTTAAATGGTGTATTGATTGCAGTGAGAACGGTTGTTGGGTGTTGGCGTACCTGAGCTGGTTTCAGGAAGCGCGTGGGGAAGCTGGGCTGTCGCGGGGGGCTGAGCTGGGTTGCTACTGCAGCAGCTTTCGCTGAACTTGAACTTGCTGCCAGACTCGGCGGCGGGGTTGGGGTTTGGAAGCGGTTGCTCTCTCTCAGCGGTGTGGTTTTAACTGGTCCATCTACTCCTGATTCCAGGCTAATCTAGATGAAAGCCAGATGAGTTCACCTACATTCCTTAGAGCTTTAATGACAGCAGTTTGTAAAGCAGCTATTATAGGTGAGTAACTTGCCATGTAAACACCATGCAAACCAAACGTGCGAAGAATTATTTTATATTTTTCAGGGTTCTGTCACTTTCCCCGCGCGAGGCTGTGTTTGATCACACACTCAGACTTTTGCACCGTATTGAATTCTCGTGCTGGAGCGCGGGGTGTCCGTCCCCCCTGCGACGGCCGGGCGCTGCGCCGAGGCCCTGGCGCGTCCCGGTGACCTGGCCTGAGCAGATGTTTCAGACAACCCTGAGTAATGCCAGATCGCTCATTGATTTTTCTAGCGAAGGTGGGAATGTGCTAGACGTTATTAAGATAATTAGCATTTCCACTCCTGTGTCAGCAAGTATGCGTGGGCGCTCTGCCATCCATCACAGATTGCCACGTGCGAGTTGGGAGCGTGGGTTGCAGAAGAGAAGCCAGCCTGCATCTCTGTCTTGTTAAGAGTTTTATGTGCAAAGTTGCAGTTTTGGAAAGACCGTTTATGAGGCTTACTTGACTGGTCGGCAGTTGGCTGGAAATGGAGGGAAGGGTGGGTGCCCAGGTGAGATGTGTGAGCCTCAGACCCTCGCTGCGGCCAGAAACATCTGGTCAGTTCACTTGGTTTTCTTTAACTTTACTGTTGGCATCTGGCAAAGCAAAAAGCTCTGCTTGTAAAGCGCCCGGTTCCGCTCCTGGCGGCGAGAGTCACGCTTGGTGGAGAGAATGGTCTGAACTTCATCTTGTTGGAGGCGAGAGACCAGCCCGGCTCCGCTCTCCTCCCTGGGAAGGGAACCTTCCCGGTGCCACCTCGTGCCAGTGGCGAAATGACGCCGGATTCGAGTGCAAACGTTGAAGGGTTCCCTGATGTGTGTCAGGAATTACCTTTTTCTGGTTTACAGTTTGACCTTGCCTCTAATTGACGGGGTTTTCCTTTTGTTTTTGCAAATATCACTTAATTGTGTTGCGTGATCTACTTAAAAGCTGCTGAATAATTTAAACACGTTGCTGAGGGACTTGCATAAAAGTCAATCAGCATTAAAAAATGCGTATTTTTTATATATTCCTGATTTCCTGTGTCATATGCAGCTTATTATTCTGTTTCTACCTTAGTATTTTTAGAAAAAAATACATTTTTCTAAACACCTTCTATATAGCTGAAATTTTAGGAAAAAAAAAAAAAACATACCGTTTTCTAAACCCTTCTATATAGCTGAAATTTTAGCCGTAGCCGTTTTACACACTTTGGACATCCCGTTGCCTGTGGAAACACAGCGCTTTCCCTGCGAAGCAAGGCTGTAATTCTCGGCGTGTGTCAGCAGGCTGCTGAGGGCCAGGGTTGCTGCACACCCGGGCTGAATTCGGGGAACTGGAAGAACAAAGACGTCCGGGAAAATCCCTTGATCAGAAATACTTCCTGCTCTTTCGTGTCCTCTTTTCTCTCCGTGCTATTTGAATAAAAGTGAATTTCTCTTTGAATAAATAAAAGTGACAAAAGATCCACCCTGGTGCTGGGTGCCAGCGCTGACCCTGTTTTCTTCTCTCCCCCTCAGCGGACTCTTCTAGCTTCCGTGTGGACACTGCTGTTATCAAACAGAGAGTGCCGATCTTACTCAAGTACCTAGACTCAGACACAGAGAAGGAACTACAAGCACTTTATGCACTACAAGCATCAATAGTAAAACTTGATCAACCTCCTAGTAAGTGTTGCCTCTGCGCCGGGGGTTTGAACTCTGACAGTACGAGGAAAGGCGGTTTCTGCGACGGTAAAATCTAGCAATAGAATCTGGAAGAGGATGTGCTTTTCTTGACAGTGGAAACAAAATTTAACTTTTTATGTAGCAGATGAGAGAAAACAGTGTACAGTGCTTTCTGCTTGTCCAGATTCCGGGTTGTGGAGCAGCGCAGTTCCCCAGATGCTTGGCCAGAGGCCGGCTCTTCTCTTGATTGCTCCTGTAAGCAGCCATGCAGAAGGGAGGACAAACCTCTGTAGCTAAAAAGAGAGGGGGAAAAAAAAGCAGTAAAAATTAATCTGTTTAGTTTACAATACCTGGATGTGTGAGAGCACCGGGCGTTGTAATTGCATTGCTGCACCACAGATGTCTGTGGACTCAGAGGGAAGAAAACGAGTTGGACAACGGATGAGCCTTTGGAAAAGAGGCAAAGGAATTGCCAGAGAAACAGGGATTCTGGGGAAGTCGGCAGCACAAAACCAGAGAGTGCCCAAACCCGCCCAACTTTGACGGTCCTTAGCTTTAAGGCGCTAGATACTTGTTAGCCCTCCTGCTGAGCCACGAAAAATCAGGTGCTGGAGAGGAGCCAGGCTGCTGGGTTGCGTGGCCCAGCGAGAGGAGAGGGGCGGCTGTGGATTCCGCTCGCTGGCCCGTCCCGAGTTAACACCTTCCCACAGCTGCTTTCCCAGCTTCACTTTTCCGCGGAGCGTGTGTTACCCGCCGGCATCGGGGGGACCTGTTCTCCCTCTCAGCTCTGTGTAATGACCCGGGGAGCAGTAACTCAGGAACAGACCTTCCTTTCACTTGTAGCTGCACCTCTTGCATCACAGGTCACGTTAATCCCCTTATCCGTAACCGTGTCTTTGTCCACTGGCTTGAACTGCGCGGTGCTAACAGCTGTTCTCTCCCGTTACTCCATTATTGCAGATTTGTTGCGGATGTTTTTTGATTGCCTGTATGACGAGGAGGTAATATCAGAGGATGCCTTCTACAAGTGGGAAAGCAGCAAGGACCCAGCGGAGCAGAATGGGAAAGGAGTAGCGCTAAAATCTGTCACAGCATTCTTCACGTGGCTACGGGAGGCCGAAGAGGAGTCGGAGGATAATTAAAACTTAAAATACAGAGAAAAAAAAAAAAAAAAAAAAAGAAACAGTTTAAGTATTTTTTTAAAAAGTTTCACGTCTTCGCCAATCACAGTGCAGCAAGGCCAATTCTCGCGCAGACCCCCCCCTTCCCCCACACATGCACGAGTGGGAGAGGTAAAAATAGATAAACACCAAGGTGATCATGGAGGAAAAAAGGTACTTGAAAAAAAAAAAAAGTAAACTTCAAACCTGAGGGCGGGAGCACTAAACCAAAATACATGTATTATTTATAGAAAATATTTTCTGTTTTAATCTTTTTCTTTTCTTTTTAAACAAGGACTCATACAAAAACACAAAGCGAAACAAATCTGTTTAGCAAAAAAAAAAGTTGAAAACTTTTAATTTATTATTTTAAGGACTGCAAATGCCAGTGTAATTTTTAAATTTGCAGTTTCTGTAAACAAATTGTATAATAGAACAAAAGCAGAGAAATAAATTTCCCTCCCCTTCATATGCACCTCAGTTTTGTTTCAAAGCATGATAAATAGACAAAACTTTCAAGGGGGTTGGGGTAAGCTAGATGAGGAAGAGATGAATTTTTTTTTAATTGTCATCAGATTTTTCTGCCTGCCTCTCAGCTTGCTTCAGAAATTTAAAAAGAAAATAGTAATCAAAACGTACATAACCTTGGAACGGAAGGAAATGCATTTGAGAAAACCGCTGCGGACCAGAGTGCTCCGAAAATAATTCATTCAAAACAGTGCTACCCTGGGGAAAAAGTACTAGTGATACTCTCAGAACCTTTAGAGCAACTTTAAGGCTTGTAAATACATAGAACAAATATTTAAAAAAAGAAAAAAAGAAATTGACTCAATACTATTTCTTTTCACTTTCAAAATATAAAGAACAAAATAAAGACAAACATTGCAAGTTTAAAAGAAAGTAAAACGACTTCTCCTTTGACAGCTGCTGAATGTGTGCACCATCTCTGAGCGGTGCTGGCTTCCCTTTCATTGTGTAGGCCCTCGGTTCCAAGTTGTGTACATATAGTGTGTGTATGTATGTGTGTCTACCAAAAAAAGAGGGGTGAGAGCAATTGTTTTTTAAAAAAAAAGGGGGAAAAAAAAATCAAAAAAGGGGTCGCTGCTGGGGAGACCTTTTCTGCAGAGAGAACTTCCTGGGCGAGGCGCAGCGGGCTTGGGCTGCCGCCCCGCGTCGCTGCATTTGGCTCCCAGCACGCTGCTGGGGGGCGACCTCGGGGGCGGTGGGTGCCCCATCCCAGCTCGGTTCTTCCAGCCGCCCGCCCGCCCGCCGTGCCCGCCCGCCCGCCGTGCCCGCCCGCCCGCCGTGCCCGCCCGCCCGCCGTGCCCCTGGGGCGACTCGGAGCAGCGGCGGCGCCCCGGGGCGCGCGGGACCCTGGCAGCTGTGGAGGAGGAGGAGAGCCCTGCGCCCGTCGCCGCCGCCCAGCATCTGCCGGTGGCCTTCCCGAGGAGCGCAGAGAGCCCTGCGGGCGGAAAGGGGAGCGCCCAACGCGAGTCAAGCGGTGGAACAAGCGCTGCGGCGCCTCGCGCCCGGGTGCAGCCCCGGTACCGACGAACAGCGGGCGCTTTGCACCTTTCTGGGTGCCCACGGGGACCGAGGCCGCACCCCGAGGCCGCCCAGGCCTCCAACCCGAGCTGCCGCCGAGTACCTTAGAGCCTCGTGTGTGTCTCCCTCCACCAACCAAAGATGACCTGCTGGCTCTCCCCGTGAAGAAGCATCCACCATCCTGCGGTCTGCAAAGTTTGCGAAGCCCTAAAATGTGGTTTGTGAACTGTGGTCTGTGGACCACGAGTAACCTGTGGAGCGTTTGCTGGTGGTCTGTGCAGCACGAGCTGCTCACACGATGCTGTCTTTTTCTTTCCAGCTGCTAAATCACTTCTTTTTTTTAAAAAACAAACAAACAAAAAAAAAAAAAACAACAGGAAAAACAAGGAGGAAACAAAAAAAAAAGGCTACAAATACATTAAATACTTTCCTAATCTTACTTTTACATGTGAACAATTACTGTATTGCATAAGGATGTTATCTGATCACCAAGGGGAAGGGAGGAGGGTGCCTGGTTGTGGCTGGAGGGGAGATGCCCACGAGACACTCTCCCTGTTAACGTGTTCCACGCCACGAATCTGAGCTAGAGAATCCATGGCCTAAAACACTAGAGCATTGTTTGGTTTGGGTTTTTTTAGTAACAATAAAACACTTTTCTCTGATGTTTTGTTAAAAAAAAAAAAAAAAAAGAACAATAATATTCTCACCCTTAATATATGCATATGTATGTATCTGCTCGTACAACATCCGGCAAGGACTCGTCCCCAGCCGCTCGCCCTCCCGGCGTGGCGGTTGGGCCCGGCCGCTCGGCGACGGGCGCTCTCGAGACCCGCGAAAGGCTCGTCCGTGCGGAAAGTCCCGCCGGCGGGTCCCCGGGTGCTTTTGTTCAACCTCTGCGGCAGCTCCTGGGGGTGCTCTTCTCGCAGGAGTCATGGTTGAGCCCCAACGTGAGCGGCTCCCTGATGGTCTGTAGCAGCTGAACAGTTGAATTAAACGGATGCGAGTTTGTTTGTAAACGAGGCCAAACATTTGCCAGGTCGGTGTGTGCACCCGCTGAATTTCCCCTCTGAGGACGGCGCCGTCACACCCTGCTGGGAACGTTGAGTGTGCGACGCTGGAGCCACGCCATGCGACGGCTGTGATTTGTTCATCAGTCGCCCTGACTCGAAAAAGGAAGAAATTGCTGATGCCTTTGAACAGCCCCGTGAACCAGAGTGTGTCTGGGCAGGGAAGTTGGTTTGGGAAGCTTGAATCTTTTGGCTGAAAGAGTTGGAAAAGCGCTGGCTGGAGGGAATGGGAACAGTGAGCGTGTGGATAGAGATGAGAAAGTCTCTCCCCTCCCTGTTTCTGAGACTCTTAAGTGTTCCAGGGGCGTGAGAGCCGTTAAGTGTCCTGCAAATGCCAGGAAGGGTGTTTTTAAAGGGTTTAAGGTGGGTTGTTTTGGTGATTTTTTTTTTTTTTTTTCAGAATTAAACAAAGGTTCTGAAAACCCAGGTTTGCGGCATGGCAAGCTTTGCGTTTTCTGAAGCTAGAGCAGCTAAGCTGGGCAGGGAGGGCTGCGAGCAGTTTGTGTCTCCAGCTGGGGTAGATGTTACCGCAAGGGGCGTATCTGACACCAGTCTCGGACCAAAACTGCTTCCTCTGCTCCCCGTGTGCCGCCCCACGCCCTTACCGAGCTGTGGCTGCTTTTCAGTCGCCTTCGAGAGCAGCGCAGGTTTGCAGGCAGTTGTGACTCCCCAGGATGTGGCCTGTGGTCCCAGAAGATCCTTGCAACATGTCTTCTCCTGAAGGGTATTAAAATACAAAATTCTGCGAGATACCCAGGAAACAGAAAAGGGGATAATTAATTAAAAGAGATTCCCGTGGGAATGTGTTTTGTGGGAGCCTCGTTTTATTTAAATGAGGTGAGCGGTGGTTACTCCTACCGCCACAGCAAAGCCTAAGCAGGGAGGACAGCAGATTTCCACTGAGAATACTGAAGGTTTTGAGGACATTAGGTGTTTTTCCTCCCAGTCTTGGTCCTACAAGGCACTTAAACACATCATCTGGGCAGGCTCATGAACGTGGCAGGGAGTTAATGCAGCTCAGCAGGAAGGAGCTGCATTAGAAGCCATTTCCACTGCTGGGAGCCCTTCTCGTGCTGAGGCTGTGCGCGCTATCAAAGGCACGGGCCAGGAGGAGCAGATGCATCGCTTACATCCCCGTTTCTCTTTATCGCTGAAAACGTCCCCAAAGCTGAAGCAGTCAAACAGAAAATTTCCAGGCCAGGTGTCTGCCTAAGGCTGGTTTCTTTCTAGGAAAGTGTTTTCAGAAATGGATCAGCCGCTTCTGTGAACGAGGCCAGGGAATACACCGATACCAGCCGTTGCACTCTGTCTGTGTGTGTTAACGTGTTCAGGTTTTAACCTTATTTTCTCAAGAAGCCTCAGGTCCCGGAGCAGAGCTCGGTGTGTGGAAAGATCTTTTGCCCAGGATCAGCCCTCCCTGGCGCAGGAGCTGGTAGCTGAAGAGGCAGGAGAGGCTTGGGGGGAGGGATTCCTCTGCAGGGATGTTTTTTAGTGTGCACAAGGCAGGTTTAAGCCAGTAGTAACTTGCGCTGGGCATTGCTGCGTTCCTGCGACCCGCAGAGCCTCTGGCTCCAACCTTACAGATGTTTTTTTCTGATAAAGGAAAAACAGGGCCTCTAAAAAGTCCCGTTAACTTACTGAGCATCCTGAAAATGCTTAAAACCAATTGCAGATGTCGGCATCTCATTGCCAAAAGGGTGGCTGTGATTGTTCCTGCTGCGTTTCGCTCCAGCATGAGTCATTTTTACAGATAAAGGGACCTGAAGCTGGTTGCCTTGTCAGAAGCGGTCGCTGCAGAGCAGAGAAGCTGTTACAGCTGTGCCCCTGGCGCTGCTCGCTTGGTTTGGTTCACAGATGCGAGAAGGTTTGGCTTTGGGGGCAGTAAGCTCAAAATGAGACAGGCACCCTGCCTAGAATGCTTTCGTGCCCTCAGATCCAACTCCTGGCCTTGAGGGGCTGAACTGCTGTCGGGCGAGCTGGCTGTTGGGCGCAGGTTGGTTCATGACGGCGAGATGCTGCCTGGTAGGAGCTGGGTCAGGACGGCCGTGCACTACGTGGGGATGGAGCCAGCGGGAGATGTTGGGGCTGGCAGGCACTCCGAGCTCCTGCTTCACGCAGGGGGAGCTTGGCCCTTTCGCCCTTTGGAAGACGTTGGCCCTCTGCTGCTACCCAACCGCAGGCCAGCCGCGCGGCATTTCCGTGCTCTTCACAAGCCGCTTTCTTCTAATAAGTTGCCATCCAGAAGGCCTGCATGAGATGTCGCACGCTGATAGAAACCCCGAGCAATGGTTTGATGTGGTCGGGGGGCCACGTGCAAGCTGCAACAACCGTAGGATGGAGCCTGGGGGTGAGGGGGCTTCAGCCCAGCTCTGTGGATAGATAACCACAAGGAGCCGTTGCAGGAAAACCCGGCAGTGGGCAAGCAACCGCAGCACGAGATTGATTAACCCACTTGGCTTCCAGCAGCGTGACTAAATCCCTGCTGATATCCAAGGAAACTTAAAGTCATCTACCCTTCTGTTTTCCAAGGAGCTCTGCTTGCCACCTTTGGTAACCAGCCTGGAACTGTGGTTTGCTGAAATAACTCCTGCTTGTTTAAACGCTGCTGTAGGGATGCCCAACCAAGATCTGTGGAAAGTTTTGGTCGCGTGGCGCCAGTTTCTCTTCCTCGTTTCCAGCTGCTAAATTGCACTGAACCGGCAACAGAAATAAAACTAGCTCCCGCTCCATTCAGTACTTTCCAAAGGGGAATTTGTCCAAGTGTGCAGCCACTGTCCCAGCTGCAGGGAGGGCTGTGCTGTGGTTGCAAATTGGAAAAGGAAGAGAGGGCTTGGGGAAGGCAATCGATGCTTGCAGTTAGGAAATCTTTGTATTACTGAGTAAGCAGAGAGAACGGTAAAGCCTGGCTCTTGCACACTTGATTGTCCTGTCCCAGCCCTTTGCAAGGGTTAATAGCAGATGCTGTCACGAAGCAGTTTTAGTAAGCTCGCGGGGCACAG